AACAGTTATAATTTATCGCTACATTTTGCATATTTTTGAATTTAGCTTATATATGTTTATATATTATATATACCTATAAATTTACGTGAATGACAAGAATAATTTTTTTGATTTGCTTGGGAAAATTAAAACTTTGGAAGACATGTTGGCAATTATTGGGTCAGTGAAGTGACAAACAAATAGTTGATTGAATTGTGAACTGAAACGGACAAACAGGAAGAGAAAAGGTGCACGAAGAACGCTTGCTTTGTTTTGACGTCAATGTTCAGAAGGAAATCACTGATCGATCAATAAGATCAATTTTTTAACTTTTTTAAAAATGTCTTTTGTTTTCTGCAAGAAAATTTCACGCTAAAAAACTAAACGTTTTTATCCATCATTGTATATCCTTTTGCTTCTTTAAATTTTCGTCAATACTATTGTTAATACTTGCCATTTTTGTTCTTCAGTCATCTTTTTTTCACGTTTACATACTTCATTTTTTACTCATATCAGCTGACCTTTTACTTTTTGTCTGTTACTAAAATTATCAGGTCATAGGTTTGAAATGATTAAAGTATAATTTCAAGTGTTTGCAATATTCTATTTTTTGTTTTTTTTTGACTGCATGTTTAAGCTAAGAAAAATAAAAATTGTGTGAGTAAGATAAGGTTTACATTTCGTGTAATCATTTGTTTTATATATATATATATTTACTTATAAAAACAAGCCATATTCATTTAGCTGTATCATGCTTGATTTTCTTAATCTATCCTATTCTATCTTAATCTATTCTAATCTATGCTATACTATTCTATCTACCTTCATCTCAGTCTAAGTTTATTTTTTGTTTTTGATTCTAACTTACAACAATAATTATGACTGTATCTTGATGACAAAATACCATAATATCATCAATAGTTTGCAAAAGAAATGTATCATCAAAATCATTTTTCTCCGTTCTCTCGGAGTGTTGTGAAAAATTGAACGTTGTAAATATCAATGGCCCTTTTTTATTCATTTTCTTCCTGCCCGTCTACGTTCCAATAGCATTGATTTCTATCGGTAGAAAATGACATTCATTGGCATCATTTCCTACGTCTGAAAGACGGAGAACTAATTTCTAACTAACTCTTCACTTTCCGACTGTTCAACGGAAGCTCACGCGAATAACACTTCAGCGGTATTTTTTTTTCTTTAAATTTTGGAATTAAAAATATGCTAATTTAGTTGAGTGTTGTCAGTTAACTATTATACTTTTCGTAATAACTTTTTTATCAGTGCTTGCTTTTTAATACTAACCAAAATGTAATAATTTAGCTCATTTTTAGGGAAAAGTAGTTTAGTTATGATAGAGCTTATTTAGTCTATCTTATATCTCTACCGTATACTTTTGTTAATGCAACGCTTTTAATTTACTTATATATTTTCGTGCTTAAATTAGTTTTTTTACTTTCAATCAACCGTTTTAATTCTTATAATAAGTTACAATTGTAAGCAACGCTTAATTTTTTTATTACTTAAAGTTTTAATCAAAAAAGTGACATTAAACACTTTTGAAATAAATGTACAATATTGCTTCTATACTTATTGTTTGTGTATATTTTTAAGATTCAATTAAATTAATTTTGTGTTATTTGCTAATGTACTGTTTTAGATATTGTATAAATTACAAAAGAAGTAATATTTTTAGCATGCACAGATCTTCTTTGTTGTCGACCGCTTGATAGAACAAATTAAGATAATAATAAGCAGATTTAAGTATGATATTTGATCAATAATGCTTTACTTTTCAGGCTTTATACTGAGTAAAAAATTTGTGTGTCTTTTTTTTTCAAATTAAAAGTTTAAAAAATAAATCTTTGTTTGAAAAATTGTGACATTCATTTGTAATTAAATGTGACTAATAATGAATATATTTTTTGATTAAGAAAATATAATCACCGATCAGTTAACAGTTAAGTGATAACTTGTGATAGCGAGAGTTTGCATGTTTATGTATTCAACCAAACTTAATACCTAACTTAATAATTCCCAAACTTAAACTCTTTTTGCGTAGCTTTAATTTAATTTGTTCGTCTGGTAGTAGATGACATTATTTGTTCTGAAAATATATTAATTAATCATTTTTTATGTTATAACAGTCTAGAGTTTTGTGTTCGTAGAGAGCGCCGTGTAGAGTATTAGTGCAAATTAAAATAAGTGGTAAGCTATCAAAGTAACAATTGGATTAAAAGTAAAAGGTTTTAGGAATATATAATTACGGATATTTTAAATGTGCGTAGCACATAAGACGTATGATTTGTAAGGCACCGGAATGTCGCCATTATTCTGGAATTGGGAGTTTTATTATTATAATTATTAAATTCAGCAAAAGGAGACTAAGCATATAAGATGCATCACCAGACAATGATATCTTTTGCTTATGCTTAGCAAATCCAAATTTGTAAAGAATCAGTCGAGAATATAACTATCTCTTTCCTGAAACCTTTTTATAGTACCATTCTGAAGTTATGGAAACTTTATAAATAAATTTATGTGGTCAAAATAATTAGTATACCTCTTAAATCAATTTCAGTTTATGTTTATTGAAAACTCTGAAGTAATTAGATTAAAAAAATATCTGAAGCTCTGCATGTCACGCCATTGTTACAGTATTTATGCAGATAGCTGTAATCATATCCAATAAATGACGAGAAAGATATGGGACTTATTGGTTATTTATGGATTTTTCTTGCATGCAAATCTCTTTTTCCCAGGATTACGGTTGCTTTTGCAAGAATTTTATTCTCTAAAATTCTTATTAACTTATATTTTTATTATGATTTTATAATGCAGAAAATTTTTTGGTTTTTTAGATTCTTTTTGGCAAAGATTGTTTTGTTTTTTTAAATATAAAAAATTTTTTGAAGAAAAATACATTTTACCTTGAAACACAGATACGATAGAATCAAGGAAGTTTTCACCTTTTTGATTATATTTTTTCCTCTCCCTACAAGTCCCAACTATCACACCTACCATTAATAAAGTTTACAAACAATTTTTAAACGATTGCTATTTCGGTTATACTATCTTTGAGCAAAACATTTGATTCAGATGGTACATTAAATGTATGCATAAATTGCTGAGTACAATTTTTGAATGTTTACTATTGAATTAATTATTTTGAATGGATTTAAATTTTTTCTTATATTATTTGTTATTCATTGCGTCAATTAAAATCTCATTATTTTGTGAATGCATAGTGATTCATCGTTTTTTAACAAATAAATTATCATTATCTAATCAAAAAATGTCAACAAAAAAAAAACTAGAAAAATAAACGCTCAGAATTTTTAAATTGAAAAGAAAATATTGTGTATTCTGATTCATATTTTGTTAAATCATAATTTGTTAATTTGCGTGATACTTAACGAAATGATTTTAAATAAAGAAAATGACGTGATATTGCAGTGATAATTACAGGAGTAGCCAGAAGATGGCGTCAGCGAAGAAACGAGTTGAAATGGCGATGGCATCGAAGGCGAAACTACAAACGACAACAATGGCAAGCGCTCCACATGTACAAATTAACACTCATGTTGAAGATCCTCAGAAATCATTAGAGGAACTTTTTACGGAGGGTATGCGAACTCACGGAAAACATTTTGAACGCAAAAAGGTGCAAAAAAAATTTTTAATATTACTTTTAGTACAAAGTAATTTTCAAAAATTTTACCTAATTTGATTAATTAAAATAGTGATCAGTTGATGCAGTACAAGATTTAATTTAAATGTTGACAAAAAATTAGTTCAAATTTGTGTCAAGTGTTACTAATAAATGAAAGAATGAATTACAAGAATTAAATTAGGCCAATACTTTGTAAGTAAAAAAAATCAACTTGACTTTTTTAAATTTTTTTAAAAAGATTGAAGATTTTTTTTTTGACTACTTTAAATACTATTTACATTTATTCGTTCAATAACATAAAAGTGATCTTAATTTGTCAAGTGATTAGTACATTATTATTTATATTATCTATAACAGAAATAGTGATAACGATAAATGAAATTAATAATGAAATATTATAATTTGTTTTGTAAATTGTAATTCTGTCACTAATAAATAGTAGACGATTAGTAATACTTATTTTCAGATAATATATTAAAAATTATTTAATAAAATGTGATTTATATGTTTTAATACTTAGCCAAGCGTACCGGCGTCATTTAATCAGCGACCGGTGTCATCACTGAAGCCATATGTTTCTTCTGCGGAAGGATCAAGTGATGATGGACTTGGCTCTAGTGGAAGACATACTTTAAGTCCAAGTTCTGTTTCCTCTACTCAGTTAAACACATCTTATCAAGGGCCTTATCATCCTAGACAAAGTTCTGCACCTGCTCTTATCAATTATGAAGATAATCTCGAACATCAGTCTAGGTATTTTTTTCTGCTTTGTCTGTTTTGAAAAAAATTTGCATTTTTGCTATTTATGTTACTTTACTCAATCAATCATCATAAACTGATTCTTCTTTCACAATTTTAGAAGTATTTTCAGTTCTTAAAATTTACTCTCATATTTTATTTGCTTTTCTTGTAATTTTTGATTCGCTAATTTTAGCAAATTGTTTTTGGAAGATTTTGTTAGTAGAAGAATTTGTCAGGTTCATCACGCAAATATATGTGTATATGTATCATGCAAGTAAGTATATCGCTGTATAAAAGTAATATTTCATGAAATCGTGACTTTAGTCGTTTGATTCCGGGTGTAACGCATGCGCCTTCCAAGTCGTTGAGTGTTATGGCAGTGTCACATGTTGGTGAGCAATATCAGATAACATCGCATCGTGCCGCAAAAAGTTGCGATTTAGATTGTGAACCTGGCAGACATTTCGAGCAAGCTTATCCACCTCAGGGACAAGCTTACTTTGTTGAGTATGTTTTCATATTCACTTTAGTGATATGGCTATAAATTGAATTTTTGACTTTTTTTACTAGTCAGAAATAAAAGAGTCTTTCAGTAGTATTATTGATAAGCAGTATGAAAATTTTCTTTGCATCTGAGCGAAATTAAAGCTAATTTATTTAATATTTTCTCACAAAAAAAATCAAAACCTATGTAGATATAGCATTTACTGAAAGTCAAAAATTAATCCAATTTTTATCATTATCACCTGATATCTGCCTTGCAACTATGTTGTCAGACTGCTTATCACTCTGAGCGCAAGTTGTACAATTTCTTGTCTTTTTCAACAAAACAATTTTTTCGTTCAGTTAAATATGCAAAATTTATGCAAAAATATCATTTACTTTAGTTAAATTATTATATTCTCACTTAATAGTGCACAACTTTTTGTTGCAATCTTTAAATTCTCAAATAGATTTAATTGAAATAAGAGATATAAATAGTGTTTTCTTTCTGTAATATAAATATAAAAATGAAAATTAATTATTGCTAGAGACGAGAAACAATACTAAATAAGCATTAGCATTCATGATTTTATAGAGATAGGATATAATTTGTTACTGCATAGCAAAACGTTTTACCAATTTATTTTTGGCGAATATTTTTCATTGAATTGAAATATGAAACAATTAAACCTCTTTCGATCAAAGATATCTAATTATTTAAGGAATAAAAATATTCCACTGGTATTACAGAACACATTCTCAGAAAAATTGAGCAAACAGATGGTAAGTAGCTAACTTGAAAATATACTTTTAGGCAAAATTTCCATGACTGTATTGAATGGTAAGTAGCCTTTGCCCACTTCAATGAATCATCTAAAATTATCTGTATGAAATTCGGGCAGAAAGCAGTTTTTACTTTACATTTTGGTAATTTAATTATGAAGCTGTAAAGTAGTTTGCTTATTAGAGAAGTCGAAGTTTTTGTGATTGTAAGCCATTTTTATTTTCTACAGTTTTGCTAATAAAGCAGAAGCAAACTAAGATTGGATTAAAAATTGATTTAGAATTATTTTTAATATTGAACTAATTTAAAATATTAAATATTAATCCTTATTAAATAGAATTTTTGAACTTCTTTTATTAAATACATTGAAATGGTACTGTAAAATTGATTATGCTGTCAAAATATTAGAGAAATTTTTGTCTAACTGTTAGGATTATTGTAAGTTTTATTAGATGGAATTAGAATAGCAGTACAGTAATAATTTATTGTTTAGAACTGAACAAAGATATGATTTGCAAAAACTTGTAAAAAAAAATATGCACTCGCAAATTATTTGTGAGAAAAGAGCCTTTTTCTCCGGAAGACAAAACGTACTAAAAATGAAAAAATTTTGAACAGTAATGAATTTATTTTTTTGCATAAAAATGTAAGAACAAATAAAAGAGATGCAAATGGCATGTTTTACTTATGCTTTGTTAACATTTGCTCGGAGTTTTTTTTCAAAGGCCAACGGAAAAAGTGAAGAAATGAAAAGATATTGAAAGTTATCAAGGCGTAATTTCACTTTTTTAATTGTAATTCTTGAATTTTGTCGCAAAATCTTATTATTATAGCAGAAATATGCAAATTAAGTAACAAGGTCATAGAGTATTCTTATGAGAAAATATGCATAAAATAGAGAGTAATTATATTTTTACAGCTTTAATGCAAAAAATGAAGCTGCAATAAAATATTTTGTCAATTTATAAGTAAATTAATTAGCTATTAATTATTAAGTAAATAAATTACAAGTCAAATTAATAATTTGTTTATGTAGCTTAAAAATTGTACAATTTTATTGTATAAATTAAAGCACTGCAACCGATGTTACTTATTGGAGTGAGCCTCGTGCTAAAAGTCAGTCTCTAGATCCAATGACACTAGTTGCTAATGAAAGTTCTATTATGGAACAAAGACATCAGCAGCAAGCTATCTTCCAGCCTTCATTACCTGTATCACAAACAGTTTGTCATTTTGCAGTTTTTTTTTTTAAGCAGATATAAAAATAAAGCAAGTACTGACTGATTTATTTTGTTTGAATTGACTTGAATTTTCATTAATGTTCATTTATTTATTTCCCTCAATTAAAAACAGTTCTTCTACAACTTTTAAATTGACTATTTTTACATTTTTTTTTTTTGCATTCTGATAATTACATATTAATATTAGACGAAGATATGTTAGTTCAATTTTGCTTACAGGAAGCTGACGATGGCTTAGGGCCATTACCAGATGGATGGGCCAAACGGTATGACCAAAATGGAGAAGTTTATTTCGTGGATCATAACAGTCGTGAAACCACATGGTATGATCCGAGAATACGTAAGTTTCTGTTATACTCTTTAAGCAAATTTTTAAATTCGATTTAATAACATACAAGTTAGATTTTTCTAAACCCTTCCTAGTTTTACATTTATTATCAGGTTATTAGTTTTGGTGATGGTTTTATAAAATATCAATATTTACTGAAAGTTTTCAATCTACTTATACTATTACCTTGCATAATTTTTTTTTATTCAAAAGATATTTTATATAAAAGTCTAATTTTTCATACATGATTTTATCCTATAATTTAGAATGCCAGAAAATATAGTTTGGTTGTTGTTTAATACCAAAATAGGAACATACTGTTTTGTCTTAAACAAAACAATCTCAATAACTGTATTAAATATTTTGTCAAATGTAGTGCATTTGTTTTCTTGTAATATTTATGATTTTTTAAATTTAAATAAGTATTATTTACAAAAAAAAATCACATAGTATTCAGTACTGATAGAGGTTTACATTTAGCAGCACACTTACAAGAAGAACGAATTTGGCAAAGGCATGGTTGTAGTAGACAGAATACGGATCAAATTAGAAGGAATATTTATGAAGTGCCTCTGGTGAGGATTTTATTGAATTAACATGGAAAATTAAAGTATTATAGAAGGCTTTTAATCTTTATTATGCAATCGAAAAATGAACTGATAAGTATGTGTTTTCAGTTTTTAGAATAATATCAAATAATGTCTTAAGAATATGAAATATATCTTAAAATAAATGAACTGACTTTATTTGAACTCAATCAGTTTTGTATTTAAAGTTTAAAAAGTGCAATTAAACAAAGATAGTTAAGAGATATCTATCACAAAACTGACTTGAGATTGCTGTTTGGTAGACTAATATGATATAAATCATTCAGAGTGAAAGATACATTTTCAAGTTAAATTTGAAATTATTTAACTTACAGATGTGAAACTCAAAGTAATTCATCTTGATACAGTATCTAACTTGTAAATGATTTTAAATCTTTTCCATATTTGGTAAATTTGCTTGTAAATTCTTTTAGGATCATTCATCAATTCGAAGGCAACAGTTAAAGATGGAAAGACGAGATATGCAAGAGCGCCAGCAGCAACTTTATAGACAGGTATTAATTACTTGTCGAGCATCTCTTACGTGTTATTTCCGTTGTAAAAATATAATGGATAAGAACAATATATTGCTAGATTTGTAGATTCAGTAATTCGCTTTTTGTACTTGCAGAGTGTATCAGACTTTTTAAGAATACCTGCTGAATTATCTTGTGATAACTAATTTTGAGAAGACAAAATTAATCGAAAGAAACAATAAATTTTGAGGAATTGATAAATCAAAAGAAAAATAACACTAATTTTTTATAGTTGTAAGTATAGTTGTTAAGTTTTTATTTTCCAATTTTGCATCCAATTTCAAATCTAATGCTGCTTTGATTTAAATTTAATCTTTCTCTCATTTTTATCGTTTTAAGAAAAAAATTTCAAGCTTGTATTTGCTGACAATATTGCATAAGAAAAACGAAAATTAATGTAATTGAAATAAGTGTGAAATTTTTTAACGATTTAGAAGTTATCTATTTTATTTTTATTTAAGTATGATCATTTTTGCTTGTAGGGCTGGATTGGTCCACCATGGCAAGCAGCTCAACAGCAACATCCTCAAAATCCAGTCCCTTCAATGGTCCATCAGCAACAAGATATTCCTGCAGTAAGTCAGAAATATTTTTGTAAAGCAGAAAATAATCGTTTTAATATTTTCATGAAGAATAATAATTGTGTTAGAGATTAGTTTTTGCATCATTAATTTTGCTAGTAGCAATTTTTACTGAATTTAAGTTAAGTTAACACTGTTCTTCTTAATATTCACATTGGTATACACTTAACTGAGCTAAAACTGAGACTTAAATATTTGGGTTGCAGGAAATTTATTTATATATATCTAAGCAAAAATAAAATTTTATAGTATAGTCTGAAAATTGCTAGAATGCACTTGAACAGATTTTGATTTTATTTCTCAGGTTAAAATTTGCATAAATTAACTAACAATTTTGTGTAATTTGAAAGAAATTTTCAATATCCAAACAAGTTATTTTTTTAATAATTGCTTTTTTTTTCTCGTAGCGTAAATGTTGCATTTTTGTGGATAGCTTCAGGCTTCTGGCTATAGTGATTACTTCTTAACTGGACAAACAGTTTCCAATGAGTATCTCGGACGGAGTCCATACTACGCTCACAATGTGTGTATTATTTTAATAGTAAAGTAGTCAAAAATAAATATTTATCGTACAATAAATACTAGTGAGTCTGATCTTTACCAATCAGTCTTTATACTGTAACAAGTTTGATTTTAACAAATCAGTGTAACAAGTCTGATCTTAGCAGCATAGTCTTGTTGCAGTCGAAAGAGTTCTGAAAAGGGAATCAATTGTAATTTTTGTGCGCTTTACATATTTTTTATTTTAATTTATCCAAATCATACTTTATATCCAAGTAGAACAGTTTATAATACAATATTAATTACTGTCACTAATTTCGTGTTTGATTCATCATCATTATTATTTCTATTATTTGTGCTATGATAAAGTTATGTTTGTACAATTTGCCAAAAGTGGATTCCAGCGAAACATATCGAACGATTCTGCTGTCGACAATACTATGGAAATTGATTACGTTACCGCGGGTCAAGTAGGCATCGTCCCTCTTCAAAGTACTCACGAAATTGATCCAAATCTTGTCAGAGTAAGGATTTTGAAAATATCTCAGTTTCTGTAAATTTGCATATCATTATCCCATGCAGATAATATTAGGAAGGAGCTGGAATACATTGAGAATGTTTAGCTATTTTAAAGGCGAAATTGAGTTGAATTATAACTATAAAATTTTTAAACATTTGTAAGAATTAGCTCCGAATATTTTGTGTTATATACTTTTGATAGTTAATTTGCGTGCTTATGATAATAGCCTATTAAACATTTCGATTTATTTTTGATTTTGTAGTACAAAATTAGTAGCACTAAGCAATCAAAACAGTAGTCTTCATTCACGTAAAGAGCATTTTTCTAAATTATTAATATTTTAAAAAATGCTCTTTACGTGAATGAAGACTAAGTTATGGATTTTTTTCTGCTTTTTTGATAGCAATCAAAATTAACATTTTTTTTTTTGCATTTACATATTAATTCAATTTCATTCATCGTAAAAAATTCAAAAATTCGCTTAAAATTGTTGCTTTATTTTTTTGATTACATTGACGAGTACAATAAACCATTATTATTGCAGTAACCCAACTATTTATGTTAAAGATTCAGAAAAAGGATTAGCTAACTTTTCTTCAGGATCTGAATGCGCAAGATTTAAATCCGCATGATTTTGATCAATATCTTCAGCTCAACGATAATCGTTCGCCTGCAGCTGTTGCTAAACCTTATTTGTAAATGAAAGAAAATTTTTTTTTACACAAAAAAGTAGCCATTAAAAAATAGATATTGAAGCTATGGAATCATTTCTGAAAGAAGAAATTCAAAAGTGAAGTTGCTCATTCCTCTGTTATCACAAACTGATAGGTATTTTCCATAATTATAGTAATATCAGGAATATTAACAACATCAATAATATTATTATGCTACAAACAAATAAGTGGAAAACTTGTTGTAAGCTTTAAACTTCATTTAAATGATCGAGCGAATGTATGCATTTATCAGCGACTTTTTATATTAGCCATTGTTATACTGATAATTGTTATCAGTCTATCAGCTTTGTCGTTGTAACAATATTCTATCCGATTACTTGTAGCTCTCAAAGACAATTTTATCTCTGAAAACTTTACTTTAACAAAAAAAAGGTAATTAATTTGCTGTTTAAAAAGCAGTTTGAATGACTTAATTGACTTTTCTGTGCTTGTATTCATTTTCCACATTTTTATCAGTCTTGCGTTCGTATGAATATCGCAGAATTCCATTTGCCATTCGTTTTTTAAATATTCTGATAGAATTCAAGTCGAATTCTATTGCTAATTTAGAGATTATGTAAAGTTTTGTATTTGCTAAGAAGTCTCTTTGCATTATTTTTTATCTGAAAACACGCAAGTTTTAGCATGTAATGCTTAGAAGATTGGTACTGTTTGCTTCTGATGTAAAGAATAACTAAGAATGGAAATTAGACGTTAATTGCGAACAAAAATCTAAGTCTGCAAAGAAACTAAAAAAATTTTTTGTCAGAAAACAATTTTGATGCTTTGTAATTACGGTTTACTGTTATCTTACTTTTCAGTAAATTGTTACCTAGAGATTACTGTATTTAGTTTGAAAAATCTTAAGTTTATCTTTTTAAAAGAATTGAGTGAAGTTTACAGAATTAACTTTTTAAAAGTTTATTAAAATCAGAGTTTTATCGCAAATACTTTTTTTGAGTAAAAATATTAAGTGTAAAATTTGTCACAGTATATGTACGTAAGTGTAAGTTTAATAAGCTAACAATAAGCTAATATTTACTAACAAAGCTTGTAAGTAAACGTTTTTCTTCAGAAGAAGAGAAATGAGAGTAATTTTATTCAGAATTAATTCACGATAACATGATTTATAGTTTAACTTAAATTATGTTAGTTATAGTTTTAATTGATTTGATTTTTACTGTAAACTGAGTTTTAGTTTAAGTAATTGTCAGAATACATAAAAATGTAATGTTACATCATAAAACTGCAATTATTTGACGTAACAGAATATGTCACACAAGTTGACGTGCCAAAGTAAAATTGCTAATGTTAACCTCTACCCTTGTTGATCACACGTTGTGTACAAGTATTGTCAGCTTTGTGTACATTTCACTATATGTAGTGTATACTTTATTCCATATGTTATCTATCTGCTTGACGTAAAAGTAAGTCCAATATACCTACTAGATAACACATTTAATTATTGGCAAGCAGTGATTTAATTTTTGTGAGCGCGTTTGTCTTGCACTTCCCGCTAATTTTGACTTGAAAATTTTGTCAATTCTGTTTTTCTGATGATTTTTATGTATATGTATATCTATGCTTACTTTTATACCAACAACCGCACTTCAACTTTTTGTAAATTTGGATTCAAACTTATCGAATTTCATTGTATGACAGGAATGTGTCTTCTGCCAATGATTGCATACTGTATTGTAAACCATTTTCTCTTGTTTGATAGTTTAATAGTAATTATTACTCTTTCTTAGAATTTGTGCTAGGAATCTGATTTAAAGTAATAATTTTCTTCTTTCATCTCCGTATTTATTTCGTGTAATCTTTCCTCATTTCCCTCTCCTCTTAGAAGTACCATCAACATTCCTGATTTAAATTTTTGAATAATCTAATCTTATTGAATCACAAAAACTCTCTATAAGGCAATTTTTATCATCATCATAGTAGTATTAGTAGTAATTAAATTATGACTGAGATTAATAATAATAGTAATAATGGTTATATGGCAGTGATGACTATGATGTTATCGATGATATTGTTTGCAATAAGTGTGTATTAATATGTTTTTGTCAGTGCACTGTATGATATTTAACGCTTGTAAGATTTTTATTGCCAGTTAAATATGGCGTCATATCTGATCTGTGATTAACGTTGATTGTATGTAATAAAACTAACACTTCTTTAATAGTTAATTAAGCTAAGGTTCAATTATCTGCAGCCTTCAAACATACTAATTATGCAAATTTCATCTGCCATATTTAGAATATCTAAGTTTTATTTATTGGGTATAACGTTGAATAATGCTAAACGTTACGGTATTCGAAGTGATTGATGTATAACTCGGAATTATTTCAGGACAGATTTTTCGTAATGAATTTCATACTTATTGAGCTGGAAAAGAAATTGTGATTAAAATATTAAAATAACATATCCAATTCTTTCTTAATTTAAGAATTTACTGCTAGGATCGGTTAAAAATATGACTGTATTTCGAAAACATAACATAGCTGTAGTGTAAATCTGACAATTCCATTTGACGCCGAGAATTCTGTAAGTTCTAGATGTTTCTGAATATTTTACGACTCCATCTGATTCCTTCTGAATATCTCCACAGGATTTATTCAAGAAGATGGAAACAAAACGATATTTATTTATAAATAAGAAAATGGCAGGAGAATGAACAAAAACATTTTGATATGTGCTAACAACAAATAACGGCAGTTAACTACAATCAAATATTTATAAAAATCAGAAGGACTTCTTCAAAGTCATTCTATTCATCAACAGTCTCAAAAAGCATCAAGTGATAGTAATCTACAGAAAAACTGCATAAAGAAACCAGGACTTTTACTGATTAATACTTGTTGGACAGTCAGCTAGCACCTAATTCATTTGCAGTTATCTCATATAATTTTATTATATTTTCTTGTTTGTTTGTTAGAGAAATGACTGGAAAGCATAGAAATCAAATAATGAAGAATCAACTTAGGCTTATAAATACTGATGATGGCAGCAAAAAATGCATAATTTCAAACAAATATTCCTTCTTCCTAATTCTTAGAGGAAAAAAGAAGTATCCTAATATCAGAAATTATATCTTTGACAATTAGCTTTAACATAAATGAATAAAACATGATATGAATGAATTCGTAAATTGTCACGTAAATTTGTGATAATAATTTTATCAGTGATTTACTCTGTAATAATTCATGCCAAAACCATAAATAGTAAGTAAGTAATACGTGACATTGTTAACGCCTTACCAATAATAGTATCTTAAATTACTTCAATCTCACCTTTCTTCACTTGATTCAGTTCAGAGCAATAAAAATGATTATATAGTAACTGAGAAACGTTTATCTAAAATCATTTCTTATATGCTAAATTACAGAGCAGTCACTTGCTCATCATACTGACTTTCATCGTCATCATGAAAAAGTTCGTTACTATTATCATCATCTCTATCACTATTAACACCATTGGTATCATTATCAAACTCATGATAACCAGATTCTTCGCTAACTGCATCAGTTTCCATTTCCAATTGTTTTTCAAACCTGTGGCGTAATCGATGTAACTTCCACAAACGATTTTCAAAATCACTTGATTGCGTTGCCCCTTCATTTGAATCAATACTTGATGGACCGGAGTCTAGTCCTGCACTAAAATCAGTGCTACTACTAATTGCTGATCCATTTGGTCGACCTTTTTGCTCAACATTACTTCCAGCACGCAGTTTGTCCAATATTTTTTTGCTACCAACACTACCTACAAAAGCAAAATAGTTGTCTCACAATTACATTTAACTACGAAAATAAAATCAGAAACAAAAATATGAAAAGTTTATTTTTCAAAAATTAATTGACTTCAGTTAGTTGCTTCATGAAAAGCATTCCAAATATTTTAAAATATGAAAGTAAAAATATTTCAATACTTTAACTTATTAATTAATAAGACTGACTTCAGTTAGATGGTTTAATTAGCACTACAGAAAACGCATAAATTCAAAATGACGTGGTATTTTAATCTTAACAGCTAATTATGATAATAATTTTTGCCTCTAATCTTCAAGTCCCGCTTGGAACAACAAACAATGGCCCTTCTCTTTTTGCAACAAAGTAATATAATACAAGCCAACCTCGAATAGAATTTTGCCTAGAAAATGTAATTTCTGTTGTAGCGCTGCTTTCAAAGCTATTAGTACTGCAGGCATCATCACCTATTGGAGATTCTTGATAACATATCGAGTCAATATCTGAATATTCTTCCTGAAATTGTGATTTAAATTTACATTAAATAAAAAAGACCATGTATTGCCATGGCTACTTCATATTGTAATAAGAATAAAAGTCATCATATTATGAATTTTGCCAATACTTCATATTGTAATAAGAATAAAAGTCATCATATTATGAATTTTGCCAATCATATAAATTATTAAGTTATTAAATGAAGATTACTGCAACTTTATATCACATCGTCGATCGAAATTCAAAAAAATGAAAAACAAAGTCAACGCTGGACCTGCTGTTCTTCAACAGTTTCGTCTTCTTCATCAATTGCAAACAGTCTTGGTGCACTTCTCGTACGACTGACTGGTGGTCGGAAATTCAGTGTACCTGTTTGCAGCAATTGTTTCCTGAATACAAATATAGGTAAATAGCAGAAAAAAGAAGCTTCTTGAGTTTTACCACCGCTAACATTTTCATTGCTTACTTTTAAAATTTTATTACCTTTTAGGTCCAGTGGATGACTGTCCAATTACCAAAGCATTTAGTCGGGCGTTTTGACGACACAACTTTTCACGACGATACTCCTGAAAACGATGAATCCTTCAGAAACTTAAAGAGAACCTAATTCTCTAACTTTTCTATTCAAGTACTCTCATATTTACTGGAAAAACCAAGGAAAAAGCTGTATTTGAAGTTTAGCATCAGGTTTATGTTTTATGTAAATAAGTAAATAAGTTTTTCAATTCCCAATTTTTTACTTGGTTTCAATTTCATTGATTTTTGATTCAATTTTCTCAGATGATTTCGTGTTTCTATACGAAAAGAGCAATTTAAATCCATCTAAAAACTAATTTTTTTCGACTAACTCAAGCAGCTTTTTTCCTAACATTTTCAGCAATTTCACTGTTGTAATTGCGCTCTTTTGGTTTTTTTGCTATCAAACGATTAGCTTAAAAAACCAAAAAAATTAGCTCCTAGCAGACTTAGCTTTTTAAATATTTACTTAATTCCGAATTTAATCGACAAAACACTTTTTGTATATGTCTATATGTCTGCTTGTGAATCAAAGACTTAGTGGTAAAAGATTCTTATCTAAATGAAGCATTTTTTTGTTTCTAAAATAATTAAATTACAGCTGCGCAGACATACGTTTTACAAACAAAACACGTTTTAATGAATAAAAAAGCAGTACTTGAAGAGCAGCTCGTAGATATCGTTCAAGTGTTTGAGCTATTTGACATGAATCAGACGGTTTTTTGCATAACACAGCATGACATCTGAATTTTACTGACAGCAGTGATAATTTAATATTTGAATTGCTTTTAAAATTTACTAGAACAATAAGAACACTCAAAATTTGCAAAAATTTTGTACATTTAGAAGCAAATTTCTAGAAAAAAAACCATTTTCAATAGGACCAATACCAAGAGAACTAAAAAATGAAAACAAAAAACTTAGTAGCAAAAATATCTAAAATATTTTGCCCTTACATAATATATCTTTGCTACAAAATTCCCTTGCAAAAAAAGCTAATCACAATTGTATTACCTCAATTCTGGTTTCATTCGTTTCCCCTCGTGCTTATACACCCAGCAAAACACTCGTGACAAAGCTGTTGGTGCAACGCAATAAGTTATTCGATGCGACCAATATTCCGTAATACCTTGCTGTGATGTTTCTACCTAAGAATGAAATTTTGCTATGAAAACAGGACTTTAATATAGACTGAATTTTGGAAACTATTTGATGGGAAAAGCAAATACATTTTGCATAAGACATTTATTTGAATAATAACAAACTAAAATAAACTTATTGACCTTACCCATTCAAATCAAAATATTAATAACTTAATGAAAATAAAGTTTACCATCACAAAAAATTTATGATTGATAATTTCTAAATAAAATTACTGACACTTTGACTTCTAATTTTCTAAACAGTTTCACTAGTTTGTATTCATTCCAAAATAACAAGCTAATGCAAATAATTTTCAGCTAATCAAAAAAGAGCTAATAAACTAATATTAGTTTTTTTCAAATCCATTTTAGACTAATATTATGAGACAGTTCAAAATATTAAGAATATTTTTTTAATATAAAAATATTTCTTGAAAATGGAGCACATTCTGGTCAATCTTTAGTTTAAATGCTACAAAGTAGAAGAGACTACTTTTGCTATTTTTTACTTATTTTTTATTATTATGCCATAATTTATTTGATAAACTGTTGATTATTATTATTTCTGCAAAATACATTTAGGATTAAACTGAAAATTCAATATAAATGTACAAATATAGCTCTAATCTTGACCTTCTTTCAAACAAATCGTATAATATTCTTAACATTTGCGAATAAAATTCCTTAATCAAATTTTGACCTTTAAATTGCGGTATTCTATCTGCTCCAAAGTGAAGTAATGCTAATCTTTACTTCTATCTTTACTAACCTTAAGTCCAGAACGTGTAACAAATAATTTCATAGGTATCTCTGCACGCTTTCGACTGCAATATGTTCGCCAAATCAGTGACAAAGGCTTTTCTACACATTCTTCGCCTAAATATTACTTTCTACAATAATTATGCTTTATTTGTCAATAAAAAAGTTATCGATACTAATCAATGACAAGATAAAATAATTGATTATTATTACTGATTTAATAATGAAATTTATATTAATGGACTAGTAATGAAAATCATCACTTTTAGGTGTTGCTATTTTACTTAGCAAAAATGGCTTATATTTCAAAAAATTTCATTTAATGCTACATAAACAAACAAATTATACTCAAGCAATTTACTTCTATAAACTATTAGTTTACAAATTTATTGCCAAAGTTGCTTGCAAAGGTTACACATTCAAATTTTTTCTTGATAAAGCAGCTGAGATGGAATCAATTCATAACGATTAGATGCATGAAATTGTAATAATAATTATTATTATTATTTATTATTATTATCTATATTATTATGATTACTTAAAATAACGAAAAAGTCACAAAATGGCTAATAAAAACTATCAAAAGTAAACATACAATAGTGTTATAAAAGGTTAAACTTTTAAAATTAAATAATGTTTGCTCAAGAAGGAGTATTTAATTCATGACAACAAGCTTCTTCTGCAATTACATTTCAAATTTCCAGTAAATTTCAGTTTTACAATTTTTTCCCTCCTTTTTTCCATAATAACAACAGAAAATTGTAATTAGATCAATCTCAATGTTAACTTTTGACATTTATTTTAGAAAAAATGTGAACAAATAAAAAAACTAATTTCTGCTAAAGTCAATAGTTTTCTCGTTTTCTGTATTGTTAATAAAAGAATTTACAAAAGCAATACTTTGTCATACAGTTTCTGTTCACAATGATAATACACTACCATGCAATGATTCTTGCTCACTCTATACTTGGATTAGTAATAAAAAATTAATCAAAATTAGAAAAGGGTAGAAAAACCTAACCTTTTGCAATAACAGTAAAAACATTCCCTAAATACACTACATGATACATGTCATCTGGCGGATTGATAGTATAACGCTTTCGCCGACGTCTGAATGGAAACGTAAAAAATTGATTCGTACTGATGACTGACTTATCACATGAATAATTACTGTTAGCAGTTTCCGGCTTCATGCTGGATAAAAATGATGCAGTCATTGCTTATGTAACCAAAAACTGATCTGAAATAATATCCCATAGAAGTTACAGAATATATAAAGCAAATGTAACGCCTTCAATATGATTTCACTTTATTTATTAAAATAACTTCAGACTTAAGAGCTACTAAAATATAACACATTAAGCACTAACTAACTCAAAAACATTTACATTCAGATTCATTTATATGCAAAGATTCACATCATGAGATGAGAGATTCAGTGAAATTAACTGCACTAAAAAATGTGGCTTGAATTTACAATTCAGCTCATTCTCGAGAATCCATTAAATCGGACATTGATGGCTAATGCAAGAATTCAAAAATACAAAAAATACTGCAATATATTCATCGATTTTTCGTACAAATAAAAAGATTACGATTTGTGATTGAGCATTTCAAACTCGAATTATTAAATAAAGAGTATGCAATTCGAAAACAAGCGATTATAAATTATCCGAACATCATTCTGTTATAAGCATAAAATATTCCTGACAAGTTCAAGGTTCATTTCTTTTTATTAAATTTATAAATATAAAAATTGTTCCATAACAGAAATTCTTCGCTTCTACAATATATCTCTTCTTTTCCTATTAGATTTTCGAACTGATAAAATTTACAGGTAGTATGAAGTAGCAAAATGGTAGTAAGATAAAATTTATTACAACAAAAAATTTGTCTTATCAGCAAAATATACTAAAAGCGAAAATAGATTCACTACTTCTCACTCGAGAAACAGCAAATGTAACTAACTGAATTTCAAATATTTTTCGACATGACAAATTCTTTCACTTTTGTCTCAATTTTGATAATACACTCAAACTCTAAAGAGCTTCTTTCCACAACAATTCTCACTTCTAACTTCACTTAAAACATTAATACGTGTTTTCGTACGTGTTTCCCCTATTTTTTTCTGAATTCCAATAATTTTGTATACAATCTTATTTATTATCTTCTGCATAAGTTTTTTTTTCATTAAAATAATGAAATAACACTGTTTACTTTGTTTCATACTGTAAAAATGTGTTAATTGAAAAAATACATTACAAGAATAATGTGCAATAAAAGATTAAATTCCCTTTCATACAAAAAATGCACTAGAAAAAGCTACCGTAACTGGTACGCTAAAAAAAATCTTTAGCATTACATTACGTCAGTTTAATTTCTAAATTTTAAAGAAGTTTCCAACATAAATGTAATTGAAGTTAAAGAAATGAATATATACAATATGAATATATACATATATTAAGCAAACAGTTTCATCTGATCACCAAATAACAACTCGAAACGATAGAAAGTAAGGAGGAAGAGAAACTCTTACAAAAATGACCCTTATAAAATGCATAGTAATTGCTGAAGAATTTCGAGATATAAAAAATTAGTAACAAAGAAATGAGTTACTTTAATTTACGCCTCTTTTTGCTACAAGTATTAATGGGCTGAAAAAAATAAGCATTCTTAATATTAAATTTCATTCCAAATTAAAAATAATCAAAGTTTTAAATTTCAAATTTAGCCTCCCACAAATGACCAAAAACTTAAGCGATAAATAGCAAATTTAAAAGTATCATTTTTCTCGTATTTACTTTCATGACTTCTTGGCATTCCTGCGAGACAGGTTTTGATTAAATTTTTGTGCACCAAAAAGAAAAATCAAATTTCCATTCGATTTTTAATACAAGTTGAACGTAACTCACCTTTAGCTAATAGCTAGTAGTGTTGCTTTGAATTTACCTTTCACTAATGATGGCAACTAACAGCTTAAACCAATGAAAGTAAGGTCAAAATCTGACCCAATTCTTTAATTTATTAGAAAACGAATACTTTTGTGTGTCTCTAAAAATTATGAAAAATTAGAACTAAATATGAAAGGAATTAATGAAACGCACAGCATTTTCCATCGAATGTTAAATTCCGCTCCTTTCACTATTATGAGAAAAATCTACCAGAATTTATTGCTATTTTCTGATTTCATAGAATAATGTTATCAATAATTGCAAAAACATAGCAGTTGCAAAAAGCAAAAATATTACATAAATATCAAATACTATCTAATTTCTTCCTATTTGTTTGTTTTTATCTTGATAAACGTGATAATAATTTTCAAAAATTAATAATATAAAATTTCAGAAACTTTATGCAAAGTGAAGACTTACTTTCTTGCTTATATGTGGTCATTTGCTTATAAGAAGCAGAATAAAATGGCACAAATAGATCTACAGAAATTACAACAAGTTGGAATTTAGTCTAAGTCTGAGTCTGAAATGATCAAGAAGACAATGATGCAACTTTTTCGTTTTAACTTATTTCAATGATAATAATATATTAGTATAGATGTGCTTCAATGATAAGTACGATAAGACAAACAGTATGAGAATATTTCTGTATATGATAATGCTTTATTTACAAAAATAATACGGATTTTTTATTTACAAAAATAAAGTATTATCATATACTAGAGGTATGCTTAGTAGAGCACAATATTGAGGAGTTAGCAAATAAAAAGGAATCGATTCAAGGAGACAAAATGAGATAAATGTTAGTCCACTCCGATAAATGAATATCTCACCTTTACAAATAAGCTATACAGATTTTATAGTGATAAAATGCTTATCCATTTTATAGTAATAAAATTTTATAGTTATAAAATAGACAAGTATGATTTATTCTGAAAAATGAAATTATACTGGAAAATTTTTCTTCCACATTTATGAAAAATAAGCCCATCAAAATTTATTGCAATTTTCTGATTTATCAAAATAATATTTTCAATAAATGCAAAAATATTATCAAAACTTTCATAGTAACAAATGCATTAAATATAATTAGACATAAAATTAGGAAAAGTTGAAGGCTTAAGTATAAGTAAAATTGATAATCACACTAATGAAAGAAATAGAAGATTATATTGCTAGGAGATAAGTAAATTCACCACAAATGACCACTACTAGTTTTAGACCCTCTCATTCTTTATACCTCTTTACTTTCAAAGTTCTCTAATGCTCTCTCATTCTCTGTAAAAGAGAGAGAAAGAGAGTAACTCTCCTTTAAATAACAATTCTTGAAAATATAAATAAAATTGTACAAGACAAAATTCTTCCATTTACTCATCCTTCCACATACTCTTTGAATTCTCGACAAATATCGAGAATTGTTCTTAGCTATATTCAGAACAACAACAACAAGTACTACTACTACTATACGAAACTATGACTACAAATAATCTAACACACTACTCTATCTTATGACATTTTAAGCGTAAACATTAATTCATATTATCTCATTCAAAAATAAATAACACTTTTAGAAAATTACAACTTTTATTTCAATAAACAATTTCTAAAAATAAATATTCGAGCTAAAATTTGAAAAAAAAGCATTGCTAGTTTTTATTAATTACAAAAAGTTTGCATATTAAAATATTAATAATCATAATCTGTACAATAATACAAGCAGAACAAATACAATTACAATACAAAAAATTTTTTTCCAATAGTGATGGAAATTAGTAATTGTTATTTTCTGCATGAAAACATAGCTTTGAATAGCTTTGGATTTATAGGCCTATCAAAAAGTATTTGAATAAATAGACACTTTAAATGATTTGAAGGCGATATCTCTTTATTCATATCTGCACTGCAATGGACTTGAGTGTTTTTTTGCAACTAATTTTTATGGTAAGAGTAAGATGGCATTACTGCACGAAAGTACTCCGTAAAAAACTCATCGATATTTCAGGTTATCTTACGTGACCTAATATAATTGAGTATAGAATACAGAATGATCAAAATTCTTCATCTGTAGCACAAAATGAAGTAAAGGCCCATAAATTTTAGAATTTAATTACTCAATAATTCAGTTCTTGACATTCAAAATGCAAACTCATCAGTTTCAAAAAATGAACAAAATCTAATGCATATCCCAACTGCAATTAAATATAATTGCACATTGTCGCCGGCATTTTTAAGATTCAAAAACTAATTAACAGATTTCTAGTTTCTAATGAAAATTAGCTAAAGATATAATATTCTTGTTTTATTCATGAAAAACTATACTCAAAACTTGAAATGAATTAATTAAAATTGACAAAAAATTCTAAACTCTACATTAAATTTAACAAATAATAAGAAATGGATGAAAAAAAAAATGATATGAAATCGAAATTAGGTCTGAAAGTGTTAATTTTGTGTACAATTTGAACTTTTTAACATACATATTTGCGCAGAAAAGTTAAGAATTCTTGTCTCTAATAAACATAACAATGTTCTACATCTTAATAATAAGATCATCATCGCATTGATCTTCTACGCTATAAAAGTGAGAATCATTGAAAAAATTCATTGCATTATCTTTGCAGTGTTTATGTTACTATTCATCATCATCTTTTCTTACCTCCCACTTGGTTTACTTCCAATTTCAGCAATTAAAACTCTTCATTATTTACAACACTGATAGAACTGACCTTATTCTCGGATTATCCCTACCTTTCTTGACAGTTTGCGAACTTGAGTGATCTTATCACAGGTTAATGACCCTTTATTCTTCTCATGTACTTATGCTTGCTTGATGTTTAACATTCTGCAAATTCTCTTGCCAACTTTTATTGTCAACAAAACTTGTTGATTGACAATCAAGTCTCGAACAAGCTGCAAAGGAGAAACGAATCAAATTTCTATTCAGTAATAATATTTCATTGACAATAAAAGTTGGCAAGTTATTAATAGTATTACAAATTATATTCTAGTCATTAAATACACGTAATGATTAATTAATCCTTCACAGAAAATTATGAATTTATTTCAAGCTATTTTAATCTTTCACTGAGAAAAACTAAGCGAAGATTTGTACAGTCTTACATAAGCAACTCAACTCCTATATTGCGTTGTTTTTGTTTTTGCCAAAAATTAATCTCTTCATAAATAATTATCACTAGTGATGACTATTGCAACAATATTGATAACAAATTCAAAGATAAAAACATTATTAAAAAATGATATTCATGACGAAAAATTAGTAAAATATTTGTTTAAATAAGCTTTATTTGACACAGATCACTTCATTTGCTTAAAATCTGTTCCTTCATTTATCCACAGCATCTACGTAAAAATTAAGTGATAATAAAAAAAAAATTGTTAAATGTAAACTCATCGCTAAAGAACCAGGTCACGCATGACAGATTAGAAAGGAAAATAATTTACGTCATAATTTGTTTATACTTTTCATCGCAAAAAGTAGAATACTATCAAATCCTAATGCCAAAACTGCGCAATTATCATGCACAAAAATTTCGACTCGTTAAAAAATTAGTTCAACGCTACTGTTATATAAAAAGTTGCATTAAAATTAATGTTGTCAATTAATCCTTAGATATTGTGCTCAATCTATTTATAATTATACTATAACGGATTACTCAGTAAATCTTTTTTTCTTTCAACAAACTCCTTGAAATAATTCGAAACGTGAAAATAAATAACTTTTGACGTTTCAAAAACGTGAAATTAAATAACTCTCAGAGACATGAAAATGTATATCACTGCTGACATAAATGCAAGTAAAAATTATCATATCACAAATCCAGTAGAAATTTTTAAATATGTACTGTACAGAAAATTGAATTTATATTCACTTAGAATATTTCGCATCTTCTTGTTGACCACAACAACAAAATCACATTTGAAAAATAACAATTCAATAATCTTATTATTTATGATAAGCAAATAAATGAGTAACAAACAAATTGCTTTTTAATATTGGTCTAACAAGAACTACAATTGCATTTAATTTCTGAACAAAACTGAGAAAAAATATTAACTGTAAATGAGAGTGTAGAAAGAACTTTGAACTTTGTCTTTCTTAGTTATTTTAAAACGATAAATACTATCACAAAACTTCAAAATTCCATCAACAATGATATGCATTTACCAGTTAATTACAAATAAATATAGACTAGATGGATTGAATGTAATTTGAGGTTACTAAATTGATAGTTTATGTTTAAAAGTATGATTCGCATAGAAGCGCAAAAATTATCCACAGAAGTAAACAAAACGGAAAATCAAATACTCTTCTTTACTCTTCGTAATCTGATATATTCATTCTCATGAGGTTATCACATAAAACATTCATTCAATGTGATTCTTCAGTGCACATCACTGAACGCATTATTCGTTTGAGGCTTAGAAAAATAAAAAATCAGATATTTATTTATTCAAGAATTTTTTCTTTCTGACTGGCTAAATTGTTATATTTCCTGATCAACAATATATATTTTCTACTTAATTCATCATTTATTTGTACGCCAATGAACACCACAAATGAACACAGAGTATAATTCAAAACTTTTTTCAATCCGAACAAAAGTAATACAGTCTAATCAACAAATTAAACTGTTACACAGCAACAAACGACAAGAACAATAATGACCACTACACTGACCAACGTAATTTTCAAGTACAATAATTCGAAATGCAATAAGCCAGTGAGTAATCTGCATCAAATAAAGAATAATATTGATACTAATGTAGATAGATCATTAACCTGCACGTTTTTGTTTCTGTAGTTGTCTTGTCTAGCTCGAGCAACAAAGTTATAAATAAATGCATTGAGGAAAATGTGAGAAAACATGGTGATAGAAAAACAGAAAGTCTCGATATACTATGCAAGAAAAAGAAAAAGAAGAAATCTGGAAGGTCATGCAAAGTGACAATTACCTTTTGTCCAATACAACCACTACTACACTGTCTTCTCCTCAGCATTACAAGAAAATGTCTAGTTAAAATTGATCGTAATTTATTGACATATATGGTCTAAAATCATGATATACTTACCGCTGATTATAAATTCGAGAATATCAACATTTACTCCGCATAAATACAGTACAAATATGAAAGAACACAAATTAAAGATAGTTCGAAACAAAATAAATTCATTAATTTTTTAAATGCTTCTCGTAGAAATGTTTAGTTTACTTTGTCTTGATTTAATCGCAAGTAAATCATCACACCTTCACACGGTCCATTTCAAACATCTAAATGAAATTCTTATTACTTCAGTTTATGCCAAGACTAATAACTCTAGTAGTTAGCGCAATTTTGAATAATTTTAGCATTAATTCTTCACTCACACATTAGAAGATGCTGTTATCTAGACATCATTTTGCAATAAATTCATAGCACTGGACAGCATTCGTTGGACGAGAATGTTTTGAAAAATATGATCATATAAATTCAAATCAATCAAAGCATCCAAAATGTTTAATCAACTTAAAGTTCTATATGACCATATCATATCTTTTAACTATGGAGGTTTTGCCATGAATTTTGAAAAGATCTCAAGTCATAAACAACTCAAATCTTCTCTCCTTATCATGATTCCAACTATTCACCATGCAGTTATAAACAGACACGTTTACTTTTAGTTTCGATTACAAGCAGAATACCTACCACAAATAGTAACAAAAATTATACAGAACGATGAATACATCAAAGTTTTAGGATGAAACTGTTCATTGTAAAATTTCGCGTACACTTCATGTTTTTAATTTGAGTTAACTAGGTAAGTTTTAGAACACTTGAATAATTCATAACAACTGACTCTATGATTTTCTTAGAATTAAAATCTAACTCAAATTTGAAGCATGGTAAGATATTATAATGCGCGTTTTAGTTATTAAGAAATATAAATAAAGCAAAAGCTGTCCATGAAATGGCCAAATTTCGTGATTAATGATAAAATTTTGCAGTGAAACGACGAAACAGTCGCAGATTTTCTAGAAAGGTAACACACTCTCTTTGATAACCCTAACCATACATTACTTGCTTTATATTCATAACTTAATAATACGCTGCACTCTATTTTTTAGCGATTCTTTACGAAAACACATATAATTAATATTAATTTTAATTTTAATCAAAGTTGACTAACGAGTTCAAAGAGTATTACCTGGTATCATTATGTAAATCTCGGCAGCTAATCGAGCAGTACCGTGTGCCACATCTTATGCAGGAGTACTTGGCAAAAAAGCCACAGCCTGCACAAAAATGTCGTGGTGGTATGCGACTTGGTAATGCCCTAGCAGCTTCATATGCATCAAAACCTGTCATTTTTCCTGTTGTTGACAACTAGAAAATGACAAATTCTGAGAATATGATACAAAAGTGAACAAATGTTAATAAAACAATTTGCATAGTCTTTACAATAAATTTTTGTCATTTTCCAAATTATGTGAAACACTAGAAAACAAGCATTATTTACAATGTACTGTATATAATTTTATTGTTTTTTGGAGACTATCAGTTTCAATGCACAGAGTAAAGAGAGCTGAAAAATAATATTGAAGCAGGAGCTATTAAAAAAGTCAAACCGTTTCTTCTACTAAAGCTGAGAAGTTTTTTCGGAATCTTTGCTTGCGATGCTCTACTTTGAATTTTTTTCTTTTCCTTCCTATACATATTACTTGTATTTAACGTAGCACATAAAATCAATTGGTACATGGTGAGAAAAATAATAACCAGATAAAAAAATTTCAGCCAAAAAAATTCGATGCCAGACATGAAAGTAAAAAATTTTGCTAATACGATAAATACAGCTAAGTGAATCATAGCAACAAATAAGGCATACTTATTGTATACCTATAGCTAAGAAGTTTAAATCAACTACGAATCACCTGATTCGGCGTCTGTCTTTCGAGCTGATGAAGACTGCCCTTGCTGTTCATCTTCAAATTTAGGGATGTTCTTGTGCCACTGAAGATGTGCATGGGGATCTTCATGAAAATTATCCTAGAAAGATATCAGATCTGATTTACATCGCACTTGACATCAAAAAGCTTGAAATCAATAAATGAGCAAAACTTGTATCTTCTACATTTCTGTCTTGAAATATCAGTATACTATGTTCCTAATTCATTCTGAAAAAAACCATTGTTGCAGAAATCACAAAAATTTAAATGACTGTTTAAAAAAGATTAAACAAATATTGATGCTTCGCATTCCATTTTTAAAACAATGAGTGCAGGAAATATTAAATAACTGATGTGATTCTCGTGCGAAACAAAAAAAAACTGGCCTGCTCAAGAGCTTCAAGCTGTTTTCTCAAACGTCGCTTTCTTGCCACTTCATCTAATACACGAGAAGATTCGAATCCATGCAGACGAGCTTAAACTTGCATTTGCTACTCTACGCACAAAAATAAAATCTTCATTCACTCAATAAATGCTTCAAAATCAAAAAAAGAAATGGCAACTGACTAGATTGCCGCTGCGTTTGCGATGTTCGGATATTACTCATTAGCACCAGCAAGAACCACAGAAAATCGGATCTCCCAAACAGCTAACCAAGACGTAACTAAAAATAATGTGAAGCGATAAAAATAGGGCCAATTCTCAGAATAAAATTTTCTGCAATCAGACTAAACAGAACTGAATGAATTTAGGGGAATTTCACTGAGCTATATGCCCTAGATTCATTTTCTAGCAAATCAACTATTGATTTGCTAAAATAGAAGCTTCATGAAATTTTTAAATATGAAGCGCCGAAGATTCTGCTACATTAATTATCTGACGCTTCCAATTTGACTTATATATAGTAGCACTGAAACGTGAAATTAGTCATCACAATTCTTCAATTTCATTTAAAAACAAGTGACAGTTGATTACTGCACTTTCATAGCTTATAATAGGAATAGAATACTTTTTAAAAGATACAACTTGGAAGGAAGATATATTGAAAGAACCAAAAGTTAAAAATACACAAATTTCAACATGGATTTCAGTTCGACCTCATTTTACAAAGAATGAGGAAAGCAGAAATTAAATCTTCTAAATGCATCAAACAAGGCAAAGCAAATTCTTAATATGAGTTTAAGGCATATAATTCATATCAAAAACTGAAGTAAATCAATAGCCTACAATGCACGATAAAAAGGATCGCACAGAACAGAGCCACCTTAAGCAAATATTCTCCTACATATTATTTATACCTCTGCGCTGAATATATTGAATAATTTTTATTGCCAGTCTACTTAAGGTGTATCAATAAAATAAAAAAATCTTTGGAGTCTAAAATCAGGATAAAACAGCAGCGATGAAAATATTATCATGTTCTTTTATTTCTTCTAATCGCTTAAGGTATATCAAAGAAGGCAAAGCGAGCTTCCAACACACTTTTTCTTTAGGTGAAAATTTAGCAAGAAGATCAGTTAGTGGAAGATACCAACGTCCCTTCAGACTTTCATATTCCTGAAATTTGTTAAACAAAATGCCTTTTCTTCAAATCTATAATAAAAGACAAATGAAGGGACATTATCTTGATTTGACTCCCATTAAAACTGCAGTGCAATGTTAAAACGTAGCTATTTCATTAAATAACAATTTATTCCTAAACCTAAAAAAACAAATCTATTTCACCTGTTTTTTTTCATTCTTTGGAGCAAAAGAACGCTTTTTATGGACATATTTTTCCGAAAAAATATCGTACACTTTCTTCAGTAACTAAAACAACGATTTTATCTACTACTCACATAAACAATTAAAAAACAGTACAAAAAAGCAAGTGACAGAAGAAAAGGTTAACTTAAGACAACTTTGGTAATAAAGATAAAAACTACCAACATCATCGCAATTTATAATTTAAAAGTTTACCAGATTCAATTCTATACGACCTATTCGACCTCGGTTCGCTGATGGAATAGAAAGAAAATCACTAGCTTCGACACGTCGCAAACAATCCTAAAATAGAATAAATGTTCAGCCATTTTCAAAATCGCTGGTAAAATAAATTTCTGGTATTTTTCACCAAAAGTTCTGTACAGTGCTGTAACTTAATATAAAATTTACTTTTTTATATATTGTTAGTTTTTTAGGTGTTATTTCTTGACTATGTTTTAGTTCTGACTTTACATTCCGTATGTTAATTTCTGCATTTTTTTACTCTTCTGCAAAGATATTTTTTGATAATTGTGAAAAAAGTTAATGTAGAACTCTGAAGCTATATACTGGTTGTAAATATAGATTATTGTACTAGAAGTGACTAAAGGTTATATCACCCAAGTTTGAAGTAATTGAAGGTAAGCCTTGGTGGCTTGCAATGAAATTTTGCAATCACTTGAAATGAAATTTAGTGATTTAAAGAATAAAATAAATGTTAAAATCACTAAAAACATGAATGTCTTATTATGAAGGCATGTACCGCATGAGAATGTGGTTGATAACATTTAAACCACTCAGTATATGACTGTTTAACTATAATATAGACAAAAAATACCTTTAGCTGAGAGACTAATAAACTATGTCTTTTTTGTCGCGGTTGGACAGCACCAGTATTAATTGGGTTCGGTTTAGTATTGCTGCCAGATTCCTGCTGCCTATTTTCTTCTGTCTTCATTTTTTTAACGAATTTTTCTAAGTCCTGGGACATATACTGTTTTAAAAAGACAAATTCAAAGTTTTCCAAAATCTTTCACAATGAGTCTCTTCATAAAAAGACAGTGAAAACTTTATATTTTCTCAGCCTAATGTCACATTTATAATTCAATGAGTACTCTGCAAATTCATAATCATGATTACCTAATTGATGTAAATTCATAAGAACCGCAAATAGAATATTACTTGCACTATCAAAAAAAACTCAGCTGATATTTAAAAAATCCCAAATATTCAATTATTTTTATTCAGCCAAAAGGAAGTAAATGAATTCAAATATGCAAAGCTCATAAAAACAAGTACCTCAAAGAATACTGAATGCTCTTTCAAATCCTTTATTTCACAGCTTTTTAACGTATTCTCGATCAATTCAACTTCATGTAGTAAACTAGCCAGCTCTTCATTTTTCTGCTTCAAACAATCAGTAACTGCAAGAGTAAATTATAAGAAAATTACAATTCCGTAAGAGTTTTATTTTCCTCCCAATCAACCTTTTCGGTAATGTGTATTCTATTAAATTTTACAATTTTTTTGCAGTAAAAAGAATATGAATTAAGCAGAGTAATTTTGCAAAAATTAACAACTTTACTATTAAATAATCAATATTATATTTTTATAGATTTTTCAATTTGTAATAATATGATTTATATATACTCAAAAATTCTTTCAATCTGCATAAATCATCACACGACATTTTAAATTAGAATTTAATGAATCAAGTAATCAAACATAGACGAAATTTAAAAAGTAACTTCAACTTTGAAAAAATTTGTACTGTAGTAAAACTTTAATGATCAAAATTAAGCTTAAAATAGAATTAATTACTGCAAATGCAAAATCAGTAACAGCAAAAGGATAAAAAAAGTAAACTTGCAACCTTTTTTAACATCACTACTGGATGCTCCAAATTCTAGCAACGATTTAGTATAATTATCAACTTTCTGCTGACTGCGATATAAGCAATTTTCTTTGACAATATCCACAATTGACATTATAAAACGAGCAATAAAGTGCCAATCTAACATAAATTAAGGAAAATATTTTCACGCAAAAAAGCGAAAATTTCACGTATGTTTCACAAAATACACAGCGATAAGCAACTTTGGAATTTAATGCGAAGTTATCAAAATGAATTTTATCAAAAGTTCGATAGGAGCAGGAAGACAACAACCGCAGATGACAACCGTGCACCAAACGATAAAAATTTTAATTGGTTGTAACTTTTCAAACAGAAATTATATCATTTTAAATATAATAAAAAGAGTATTTGAATATTGAAGAAAAGGCAAGAAGAGTAAGACGAGACATAATGGTGCAGACAAAGAGAGGAGGAGGGGTAAATTTTATCGAAGTAAAAATAAAATTTTCCGTATAAAGATAATTGTCCGTTAATCAGTAATCAGTTGAAAAGTAAGTTAGCTCCAGTTATCCCTTGATATTTGTCAATTATTATTAAGGAACTTCTGATTACAAAAACTGTACTAATTATATACGCTCGTAGGATTTTCAATAGATTCCATCAAGTTTGTTTTTCGTTCTCAGAATATTTTTAAGAGTTAATCAGTTTAACTGCGCTTGCGCAGAGAAATTATTGTGCAGCATTTTAAGATAAGTTATCATTTCGAAGTTGTGTTAAATTTTATCTTCAACAGTTGTAATTTGGACCTCATTTTTTAATTTTTTTTGCTCAAAATAACTGGAAAAATAAAAATATTATTTGGAATTAACTTGGATTTATCAAATTTTATTTCATTTCCAAAATACAAAGTAGTATATATATATATATATATATATATACTACTTGTATTGTTATTTTTTGTGCCTTAGGGGGATATTTCTATAGTATTTTAGTTTGCAACCAGAGGTTACGTTATGGAAAAAAATATGGATGTGGGTGATGGATTCGTGGCTGTACAAGAAATTCTAGAGAAATTTCCCATTCATGATAAAGACTTGGTATGTATGCATTTCTTTGATAAATAGAAACAAAGTAACTTTAAATTCGTTTGTAGGTCATACTAAATATTTTTTATTTTGTAATTCAAAGTACTCATTCATAAAACCATAAGTTTTTCATTTTTATGATGTCAGGAAAATCTTTCTGAGAAAAGTGCAGGATTTGCTAAAAGAATTATTGCTTACATATGTGTATTGCAAGCATCTTTAGAAGTTTCTAAGTGTTTGGTTTGATACTCTAAGCGTATCCTAATGACATTCTTTTTTTTTCATCTCATTTTATGGTTATTATTTGTAGGAACTGGTCGAAAAACGTGATGCTATGGCAGAAGAAATGTACGCAAGTACGGTAACTCTCGTTGAACGTCTTAAGAAATTCAAAGAGTTTCATGAGAGTAAGAATGCAGTTATCTTTAAAATTATTTTATATCTTAAAATTCGTTTTAATGCGTCTAATCAGAGTTTTATCATTTTCAGATTTCAAAATTTCGATCTGTAAAATCTGTATCATTTATGAAAGCAGTTGTTTCAAAAACAGTGCTGCTAAATATGATAGTAGAAAAGTCAAATGCTGTTTGCAAAACGGAATATTACTTAACTTGCATTTAGTGTACATTTGAAATTATGATTCATACAGTTCTTGTTTTTAGGGCAAATCCATGCTAATCGTAACAAAAATGACTCTTTGTTATCGGCAGTAAAGGAAATATCTGAAGGTTACAAATTAATTTTGAAAAATATGCAAGTAATCACTAATTTTAAATCATTTCTCTGTGTTTAGCTGCATTTATATTCTATGATTTGAAAACAAAGGTAAGTCACATCTGTATTTTTTTAATCTGAATTCATAATGATCACAAGAAAATAACAAATTAATAATATTTACACTACATGACCGCAAATGATATCTCTCCTAGTTTTCAATTTTGCTAAGAACTCATATAACATTTAGGTAAATTTGTAGTTTAAAGCTGTGCAACACATCTCTGTGTATTTCATCCTCAGTCTTAATTTACTTTTGATGACAATTTTATGTTAAAAAATTCCACAACAATTGTAAAACGAAAATTTTTAACATAAAATAAATTGCAGTTGTTGAAAATAAAAAACAGACCGTAAGTCAACAGGAAGAGAATGCAAGTATTATAAAACAAGCTCGAAATCTGTATCATAGATGTTTAGATGAAAATTCGGATTATCTTAATTTTGTGAAATCTTATGAGGTACGTCTTGACTTTCAATTTTCCGAAAAATTTATTTTTCAGCTAATTATCAATAACACACTAGTACCATTTACAAAAATATCATTATTTGAATATCTTAATTTATTTTTCATTATTTTATCCCTCTGCAGCACCACTGTAAATATTTACAGTTATTGCGATTGAAATTTAAAAAAATTGTTCGTTATGTTTTTTGTTATTTTGCAGTTTATTAAGAAAGACAAAGAAGAGGATTGAATGGTAGCAAAGATGTTGTCGATTTTTATCTAGAAACTGCCTATTAATTCTCATTGTAAATATATTATGGTGAATGGGCAGTTTTTATTTTATTTGTTCTTTTTCCGATTTTTTGTGACTTTTCCAACCAGTTTTATTGACCTCGTCCTTAATTTTTCATGTTATTTTATTCCAAACTAACTATTTGATTGAATATTATTTTTATTAATGTTTGTTTTATAGTACTACAATTCTGAAATAATTTGCGGATTCAGTTGTCAGCTAAAGTGCAGCAGGAAGTTCAATTTCTGTTACGTTTAGCAAAAACGTATATGTTGAAATGGAAATTAAGTTTGGGCTTGAGATGAGGCTTCTGTAAAAAATTTATCAGTCCTCGTATAGACCGTTCTAGGTAGGAGCAAGTCAAAGGTTTACTCACTGCTGTGTTCGTAATTGTAAAATTGACAAGATGGAGCTTATATTGTTTCGTGTATCTATTTTCTTGTCTGCAATATTTGCTTTTTCAAATCGTGAATTGTTCCGTATTTTTCATAATAAAAGTTCGTGTATATAATAGCAAATTCATATTTTGTGTCATTTACGTATGTATCGTGAATCGTGTGTGCTGCTCGTTATTTCAGGGTGTCTTTTTTGTTATGTATTTCAGGTTGTTTCATGAAATGGTGCAACTTCATAATTTTCGAGTATTTGTTTGCATGTTAACAGAGAAGTGTTTCATACTTGGAAATATGATACTAGCTGCTTCTGAGAAGTGCGATATCTGTCGATGTATGAAATCTATATATGAAATAGTATGCATTCTTAAATGCAATTAGTCAAATAACTTTATAGTCCAATGAAACAAATTGCAGATATAAACTATAAATTCGGGAGTTTGCAAAAAGAATAGGGTTGGCTGTTGATGTTTTGTGCATAAATTCAATCATCTCGTATGTCTTTGCTGCTGGATTCGTTTGTCGTGCTGCTGACGCAAGTAACTTTTCTTTGAATCATTAGTGCTTTTATGCTCACAGTTTTGTGAAGTCTGTGGTAACACTTTTTCTGCTTGGAAAAAAGCATTCAAACGCTACCAGAGTGAATGAGGCGTTTTTAATGGTCAGGATTTTCATTTAATGCTTACTTTAAATGAGATGAATGATATTTTTGCATTTTTTTCTGATTTCAGATCGTGTTTTTTTTGTTTGGGTGGTTTTTTTTCATGAAACAGCTTTTTCGTGATTACGAAGTGCATAAAAGACTTGTTCAAATAATATTTTCAACAACATTCGCATTATCTTGCACGATGTTCGAACTGATAATTTTCGAAATTATTGGTTTCATGGAACCTAGGTTAGCTTCTTTAGTGAATTTGGTGCGAAATAGAAAAGCTTTAAAATTTAGCGGATCATCGTTCTATTAATATGCAATATAGTTTCATGAGGTTGAACAATATCTCGCACTTTTCAAAATTGCTCTATATCTTGTTCAAAATGTGGTTGGTTCTGCTATATTTTTGTGAAATAATTGGAGTAGTGGTTAATGTTGGTTCAGTTATGAAAATAAAACCAGAGTTTTTGATACAGTTTACCATGCTGTTCACTTATGTCGTCATTTTTGTTTTTTGCATGCTTTAAAGCATTTTCAGCTCAAGGTTCCTGCATTGGAAATTAGGCTTGCATTCAATATTATTTGTGTTGATTGTTGCTCTTCCTCTTTATTTCTCTTTTTCAGTATTTCGTTCTCTCACTTTCAGTAAGTTTCATTTTCAGTTTTTAATGCCTTTTTACACAGTTATGTAGATCTGATTGCCGTTGAATATCTGTTTCATTATTCGAGAGAAAGTTGAATTTTGTTCAGTAATATAAAGTAAAGTTTAGGATGAAAAGTTGAAATATTCTTGGAATCCATGACTGATATTTTCTTTTCATGAGCAGTTAAGTTAAATTGATGATTCTAACTGTTAATTTGTGATTAGAACTTTTTTGAACTACAAAAAAAAGTGGTTCTAGCTAAATTTTTCAAGTATCACATTTTATTTGTGTTCGATATGTATTACAATTTTCTAGTAAAGAGAAAGTGGATAATACCTTTGACTGTGGTCTCATGGATTATATTCATATACTTCTTCTGGAAAATTGGTGATCCATTTCCGATTTCAAGCTCCAAGCATGGTAAAAAGAAAACTTGGTTTTTCGCTTTTATTCGCTTTTTAAATAGAGCAGGGTTTTTGATTTGAATAATAATCTGACGTAATAATGTTAGTCCTTTGCTGTTTGATATTATTCATGATATTATTTCGTACTAACAGATTGTCCAAGACTGTCTATTTATTGGTCATGATTTCTGTCTAACATCATTTTCCTATGCAAAGTTTCATCTATTTATGTGGAGGCATTATGCTGATTATATATAGTACTGGGTTAAATATTGTTATAGGTATTTTTTCAATTGAACAAGCAGTTTCACGAGTGGGTGTCATTGGAGTAACGGTAATGGCAGTACTTTCCGGATTTGGTGCTGTCAATGCCCCCTATTCTTATATGACAATATTTATGCGACCTGTTGGAAAAGCACAGATATCGCAAATGGAGCGTAAACTTACACATACTATGGAAATGATTGTAGCAAAAAAAAGGCGACTTTGTATGTTGGAAAAGGAAATCGCATTAACTGCTTTTACGCATGGTACAGTTTTAAAATTTCGATGAAACTAAATGCCAGCAATAGTAAATTTTTTCATTATAAACAAATTCTATTGCAATTTATGTATGGAAGGAAAAAACAAGCTCAATGATGTTTTTATGTCAGCATTTTTTTAGTGTAGAAAAGTTATTATGAATTACGAGTAATTTTAGGAGGTGATAACCGTCAAGAAGGGCTTTTGCAGAGATTATGGGGTTCTGTATCGTTTTCCTCGTACTCGCTTAAGGATCAGATAAGGTTACAAAGCACTAACATTTACTTCATTTATCTGATTACTTAGTACCTACATTGTTTGCTGTTTTATTAAATACGATAGAAGCTGATTTTCAGTTTGCTGAACTCAGAAATATTGCCTCTAGAAGAATTCAGTAGATATCTTTTCCTAGAAATTGTCGAACTGCGAAATATGAGGGTAATATAATTTTTCTTTCGTGAGACTTAAGTTGAAAACAACTTTTACTGGACTGAAATGTCGAAGATTTATTCTAAATCTCTCAACTTTTTCTCAGTTTTAAATTTCTCGTTCAAGCGAAGAATTTTTATTTCGAAGTTGCCAAAAACAGTTTGATATATTTTTCATGAAATTAAGTTAGTATTGTGAATGCTTGTTACTTCCATAATCGATAACTCACTTTACTTTTTTTGATAGGAACGTATTGAGTACAGCAAAACTTGGCAAGGTCAGTATTTCAATGTAGTGGGGCATTTCTTCTCATTGTATTGTTTGTGGAAAATCCTAATCTGTACTGTTAACATTGTTTTTGATCGAGTTGGTAAAGTGGATCCAGTTACAAGAGGAATCGAGATAGCTGTAAATTATATGGGGTTTGAGCTAGATGTAAGTACTTCAGTGCTGCAAAAGTTTATAAATCTCTAATTGGTGTTGGTTTATTTTTGTTCATAATTCAATTGCCTTTGTAGTTTTTTATAGATCCGATTTTGGTCGGATCTATAAAAACATCTATCTCATATTTTTTTTAAATTTCTATATAGATCCGATTTTGGTCGCAACATATTTCGTTTCTGCTGGTGGGTGTTATCGTGATTACTTCAATACGAGGCCTTTTAATAACATTAACGAAATTTTTTTACATGATTTCAAGTAGCAAGTCATCAAACCTGATTGTTCTCATACTCGCCCATATCATGGTAAGTTACAAAATACGACTCTTGTTTCACTTAGTCAATTTATAATACAGTTTCCTTATGCAGTATACGAGCTACCAGATATGTTTCGTCAAGACGGAATGTGAAGGACTGCTTATATTTTTGTTACTGATTGCTACGACATACACTTTATTTCTTGACAATTTCGATTCATATAAAGAAACTAATAGTGTATCTCTTTCAGTCGTTTTTAACAGATTAATGAAAGACAAACGAAAAACAATCAATAAATACCCGTCTATTTCATATGAATATTTCAGGGTATGTACTTTGTATCGAGCGTATTACTTATGCGAATGAACATGCCCCATCAGTATAGGTACATCTTATTTTTAGTTAAACAGTCGTGTCATACTATACAAGTTGAAGGATGGAATCTCAAAAATTTATTTTATTAAAGCACATTTCGCTCTCGTACACAAAATTTGAAGTAGATAATGCTAATATTTTTTCACTACATATAGTATTCAACTATTATTTATGACATTACAAAAAATAGGTATGATTCCATTGCATTATAAACAAATGAAAAAGATGAGAGTGAAAGGATTACTTATTCAAGTTACATAGTGCTGAAGTATTCAGACTTAATCAGAATATACTGGAGATAGAACAATTACGTTTATTTCGTGACATAAAAATTGAAAAATGAGGTTATGATATTTGTATTATTTAACTTTTTATTACGAGTATTTTTACAGGTCTAGCATAACCGTTGTTTTGGGAGATTTGCAATTTAATTTTTATCATCGATGGTTTGACGTTATGTTTCTTATCTCAGCTTTAGTTAGTATTGCTTTCCTATGGTTGGCTCACAAACAAACTCCAATTTTAACAGAGTTATAAATAAGTAAATATTGTACATATGATACGGTCGTTTGACTATTCAATTTGGTAATAATAAAATATTTGAATTGGGTCATACCATACATTACAATTGAAAAATACCAACTGTATTACGGTTTCTGTTAGGAAGTGAAAGATCAGAACTCACTAACTCGTTTTGAATATATTTATTTATGAAGATCTTCAAAATACTCCTTCACTTATTCGTTGCAAATCTTTCAAATGTTCTTCCATAATCCAATCCAAGAACTCAGTTACTTTTTCTCCATCTCCTAATTTTTCATTCATTAAACAGTTATCGTTTAATTCCTGAAAAAGAACTTTCAAGTGCCATAGGTTTTTCACAGTTTGATCACTAAAGTACAAACCTTTCTCTGTTGGTATTCAGTGCAAGAAAGTTCAACTAAATTATGATCCATTTCTAACAAAGTTTCATTTTAATCCCTTAGTACTTTTCAAGGTGACGCAAATAAGTTTTCTAAATCAATCGTATGTAAGAAAAGCCCTAAAGCAGATCAGACCTTCAGTTTCACATGATTTCGCTGATATGCATAAACTGCTTTGCACAGATTCCAAAAGTCATAATCGGGCCAGAGGACATCATCAAAATAAATAAAACATTTAGAACACTGAAAGTAGTAAAACATTTTTGCAATAATTGTATGTCATTTAAAGACAGCAAAGCCAAATTGATTCAGAACAAACATGACAAAAGGAAGAAATAGCTAGAGTGACTGAAAGTAATTTCAAGTTTACTATCAATTGAACCTGCCACAGCAAGAAATCGCTTAATCTTGCTTCTCCACTCGTTCTGATCAATAAATCTGGATCAGTTGTTGTACCACCATCTAGGCATTGCGATATTAAACATTCATTTATGTCAGCTTCATTTAGCAACCCTAAATGAATATGTTAAAAAACGAGTGCCTTTTTTCCCAAAAAAAAGATAAGAAAGGTTTATCGATTATGCCTCGTCTTTTCCACCCGAAATTATTTATACCTTTTTGAACACCATTCGCTATTCTAGCAAAAGCTCTTCTGATTTCATCTTGAGCCGTATACGCAATGCAGACATTAATTATCCCACTAAAAATATAATAAATTAGAAACGATTCAAAACTTTCATCTAACTTGTCGCGTACTACATATTTTGTAAACAAATTCCATTTATAATTGCCGTTTCTTTAGGCATGGTAGACTATATGCATATATATTAATTTAAAAATTGTATTTGCATGAAAGTTTCTACATCGTTTAATTACAAGAAAATTGATATCTGTAAATTTTTTTTGCCAAATAATGATGAACAACTTGTATAATTCTTAACATATCATGTAGTGTATGGAAATTGTCAAAAGCATGTAGTTCTAAATTTACTTTAATGAAGCTAGAGCTCATGATAAGAAAATATCTTATAGGTGTTAATGTGGTAAGTTATTTTCAGAAACCAAACTGTCTAGGCAAAAAGAATGAGTATATAACACTTAAATTGTTTTAAAAAAATATAATACCTGCGATGTTTTCTCGTAAAAAGCTCTATTTTTGCTATGTTTTGTTGAAGAGTTGATGAAAGACGCTTTAAATCTCCAAAAAACCGAATTCGAATATCATTTTCAACAAGTTTTTCCCTAAATTATTGCTGTTTAAATGTGGAAAACAATAACGAAACAGAAAATGCGTCTGTTTGCATGGTACCCTTGTATATAGTACGTTTCGTCCACGAAAACTTCTACAAAATTCTTCACCAATCAAAGCGATTCAGAAAAATCTAACTCACAAAGAGTATTTAAATAGATTAAAATACTTAATTTTCATCTAGAAGTTGTGAAAGTTTTTGCTCGAATAATGCTAATAAATCTGCAACTTCTGTGGAGTCCCGCTTGAAATTTTCTAAACTGAATGCATAGACAGTGACTTCCTTTACTTGCAGTTCTCTACACCATTGCAATACCTAGAACAAACTATCTCTGTTTAGTTTACAAAAGTATTTTATGCGCTCATGATGTAAACAGACCATAAAGACTATAATGTTTAAGAATTTTATAATCCCTTTTATAATCAACAAAGCACCTTCGTGAAAAAGTATAGAAACAACATACAGATGTCAACTGTTACCTTCGTCAACTTTTCGAAACCTTTATAATGACCTTCAGTGAGCATAGCATATTTCTGCCGACGGGCATACCTCCTGTTCCCATCCATAATGAATGCAACATGTTTTGGAATCGGACCAAATGATAGCCAATACTTCACTATACCTTGCCACCATGGTTTTTTATTATCCCCACTAAACCACATAAAGGAAATCTTATGTGTTTTCCTTTCAAAACGAAATCTTATATTAATTTTAGACTGAAAACAACATACTTTGCTCATGCTTTCCGAAAATACTTAATCTCTTGCCATACAGAAATGGACCACTTCACTTTTTATAATAGTTCAGGATGAGAACCAACGCACTATCACACTGATTTTATAAAAGAATTAAATTTATAGAAATGCAAGATATTATTTATTTCCTAGAAGAATAAAGGTCTTAGAAAGAGCAATTACTAGTAGTAACAATTCCAAGCATTATATTCTATACTCTTTTTGTGATTTCAAAGCAACCAGTGCTAATACAATTCAAAGAATCATTCAATTCCATATACCAATACCGTCAACAAAATTAAAAAATACTTGACTGAGATAGTATAACATCATGTAATAGAAAACAAGCATGAATAAATAAGCTTTACTTACTAACAGATTATAGTTTCATGCTATTGTCATCATGACAGATAGAACGATATATTATCGTGGCAAATTTTTTCAAATTGAAGATACATATTTTTTGACTAATAAATTTTGCAATTATAGCTTCATAATCTGCATACGACAAGTTTTAAACAAAAACAGATCTGCAAACCTTTTGAATAAAATGAAATAGCTAGATCAGGAAGAAGCAGACCATGAAAATTAAATTTCCAGACTTCAGTTTTTTTTAATGTATAAAATACCACTATAAGAGCCAAACTACAAATATCGAAAACTACTAAAAGTTTTCAGAAATTCTGTGAGCTTAATATTTTCCATTCAAATGTTTCTGATTTATAAAAACATTGTGAAAGCCACTTATAAAAAAGATTAATAGAGTAAGATATGTTGTCATCAATATAAGCATATAAGAGATACATCTTCGTTATGCAATTCCATGATATACTGTTCAAATTCCTTCCATAAAATTACGTTGATGGCAATGCCAAATAGTAACCAATAAACAAAACCATAGATGGGAAAGAGGGCCGCAAAATATCTTTAATTTATATATTTCAATACGAAAAAAGTTATTATTATTTTTTTTTTGTAGTACTAAACATTTATGTTTTGTAAAGAAACTTAAGCCTTAATTCTTTTGATTGAAATATGATGCAATGGTAAAACAGAAAAAAATCATTAATCATCTTTTCAATATCCTTGGCCCATAAAGTAATACGTATGCACAGTGCCAGTCACCTCCACCTGATAGTTTTAAAATATCCTCTGAGCTAACTGGATGCACCTGAAAACACAGGTTTATTTGATAACTTAAGTGAAAATCACCACGACACATACTTATTTTTTCTCATATGAAAAAAAAAAACATGCCTCATCATCATCACACATTGCCCAATGATCATTTTTCAAGTGAACCCATGCAACATAGTGACCGCTATTAGATGATCGACCTTTGTGCGTTATGACACCCTACAATGGTAAATTGAAAAGCTACTTGGCAGCAAAAAATATTTGACATCAAGAATTAATTTTCTAGTCACTGACAAAAACTGCAATTATAGCTTACAGGTTACATGAAACAAGTTAATATATGTCTAATTGTTCAAAACTGTTGAATCTTTTAATTTAAACAGCTAATTAAATTTTTTTGTTACCTAAAGCATATTAAAAATATTAAAAGATGTGCTAACTTGTAATTCGTAATATCCACTGTTATTTGAACCAGGGTCATCACTGAAACTATAAGGAACAATTTCCTTATTTTCTTCATTCTTACTGGATTCAGAAATCCCAGTGGCACCATCAAGAGTCTTTGATGCTCTCAAAACTTCTATGTTTTTATCTTCTTCCTCCTAACAAATTACGATCTTTACTTTCTGCCGAGAAAGAAAAACATGGAAATGCTTTGAACATAAAACTGCCGAAAAGCTTAACAATTGAAAGTTACAGAAACCATAGCAACACATGCAGCAATATGAATAAATAGACTGTATTAGCAACTAAAGTCAAACTAAAAGTGATACCTTAAAAGCGTCACGTGCAGGTAGTAGTTTTTGCTGCAATTCAGACGTGCACATTTCGTACAAATCAAGAATAAGTGGAAATTTCACATCCTTTAAAATCTTGGCATTTACCTAAAAAGAGTAACAGAAGCTAAAGAAAGAAGGCATAGATGAACGAAGGTTTTAACTTTTTAACTAACTTGCGATTTTGAAATAGCAAAACTAAATTATGTCATAAGCAAAAACGATGCAAACGCCTCATTATTCCAGCTAAAGAAGAACAAAATCCAAATTTCACCTTATCTTTTTCTTTATAGAAAAATCGGACCATCTGTATTGAAAGATATGCAGGAAGCCGATCTATCAAGGCCTTTTTTTCATATCTGGCATCACGACCAAGCACACATGAATTTTTGGTGATTTCTTCCGTCAGTTTACTTTTTATCCCCAACTGCACATATTTTACTTCTTGATTAAGAAAACAACTCAACTGAAACAATAAAAACTATAGAAATAAAAAAAATAAACAGAGAGCAAACAACAAGGAACATAAATTATTGTAATTTTTGGCCCACTTATATCTCCCGTTAACCGTTAAAAAAAAATAACCTGCAAAAAAGCTTCTTTCGTGGTACTGACAGGCTCAATATCCGATTCCAGGTTTTTCATTTCTATTTTAAATATGCCTTCCATATATCTTGAAACTACAGAGTCAGATTGGTTTCCAGAAACACTGCTATCTGCAAAGTTCATAGATGAGAGAATATGAAATAAATTCCTTGAATAAAAACCTGTTACACAAGTATCTAACTAGTATGAACACAATTTCATATTACAAGAAATTAAAAGGCATTCCGAATTATATAAATGTAGGAGTTATAAAATACACTATTTTTTGATTAAATTAGAATACAAAAACCTGTGACTTTTAATTGAGTCTGAAAAGCTCGAACAAATTCTGTCCAACACTCGTTTGCATCTTGTTGCATCCATCCATGCTCATCTCTAATTGCGAATTGAGGAAAAACATTGTGAACAACCTTTAATTAATACTTCGTAATGAGAAATTCTTCACCTACTATCACGAAGTAAAAAGATAAGATCTTAAAATCTTAACATGAAATCACTAACTTGATTAAAAAAAGCGACTACTTGGTAAATTTTTAATAACGTCCTTGATTAAATTTTAACTTATCAGAAAACTGCAGATATATTTTACTATCACCTCAGGTCACACAGTTTTTGCAAACATAAAAATTAATTCCCATGCCGTGCAACGAATTCCGATAATAATTTAAAGACAAACTTGTAGCATAATAAGTGGAATAACATTTCGATAACTTTTTGATTTCTGATTATCCATCATCTGATAAAGGTCACGAACAGCAGCTGTAATAGCCTTGGCGCCACTACTATGGTCCAAGGAGTTGGTTACTACTCGAACTGATTCCGAATATTTATTTAATGCCTCTCTCAGTTCTGGTATTACCTAAACTGATCTCGTACTCGTGAGGAAAAGTAAAGAATAAACACAAAGTATTTACTTTTAATAACAATTATTTGCCTACCTTAAAATACTGCAGAGTGGCATTTAAATAACATGTATTTCCCAAATTTTTTAAGCCTGCCGGTAAATCCATTGCATGTGATGTCTGAAAGGGAAAATATTTATTTCAAGACCAACTAAACAATCACATTTCTAATTCCTATACTCTGATGCGCAAGTTTCAGTCAATTTGCGCTGAAATCGAAGATTGCCCAAAGCAGTTAACACTAAACAATACCTCCGCTTCTATTTCAGTATTAGTTTGTTCAATATGGCTGTCTGGCGGAGGTGGAGGTGCTGGAACAGTACCCCCGCTTCCAACCATCATCACCGTCATGCCATCTTGCAACTCACAACCATCCCAGCAAATGTCACCAAGAATTTTACCCTACAATATGAATGAAAGTTGTATGGGTGGTAAGGAATAACGGAAAATGTACTTCATGATAAACTGAAATTTTTCGTCACCTGACAAAATATAACTAAACAACATAAACTATACACAAACCCGAATATGTTGATCTACAAGTTCTATGAACAAAAAATTATTTATTCGCCTTTGGAAATAGCTGAACCTGATCACCTTTATTAAGACCTTTTGTCTTTCTGGATTCACACCCGTTAAAGAGAATAATTGAGATTTCATTTGAAGTGGAGAATCCGATGGATTAGCGTCTATTTCGAGGCGTTCCTTTCCCCATTTTACAAATACTCGCACCATTTTATATTCTAAATCTAGAAAAAGTTGAAATGTTGAAAACCACAAGATCAAACGGACGATTAATAAACCAGTTAATCAGGCATGGCTCTAACTGATCATAGTGCCATTAGCAAGTACATTAAATTATATATAATAATAATACTGATAATTTAGTTAATTACAGAGGCAATAACCACAAATAATAATAATTTTTTAATCATTTTATAAACAATTTTATAAAATAGCTGAGAAATTTTGATGCCATTTTGCACAGTTTCAATTAGCTTAGAAAATGTGTGTAATGAACAAGAGCAGAATTCAGAACAGAAATAATCAATGATAACTAAATGGCAGGGAGACAATTTGTCAAAAAAGTAACTTTTAACAAAGTTTATTTTTAATGAAAATCTAACTGAAAAAAAAAAACAAATCGAATAGATGTTTTTCTTTGACTTATGAATTACATAAAATGAGTGGTAGAGAACAAAAAGAATTTAACAGTCCTTTGAAATAGCTTATCAATAATTCTGAATGCAATAACATTCCAAAGCAAACAATTTAAACCCTAATGATGCCACTTCGCGGTAAATTAGTTAGGTTGATACACAGTTAGCTACACATTACATTTGCGGCAAAAAATTGTTAAATAAAGCAAAAAGGTTGTAATCCGAAAATAGAAGTTGTTGGTTTTTTTTTTTTGAATTTTTACTGAAATTTATTTTAATACCATTTATTAATTAAGTTTTTCAGGAATGTCTGAAAATAAGATAAGAAATATTATCAGAATAATTATCCTACGAATTGTGCAAGGATGCTGTAGTACTCGAGATAGTGAGTGCGACTTTCTAGATATTTCAAAGTTAAATAGTTATTTTCAGAATGACTGAAAGCATAACTTTGTATGGTATAAAAGGAATGCAAAAACAATGTGGTATGTTTAGTATTTTGTTAAAAATTTTTGTTAGTTGATTTAAAATAATATTTGTTCAAGTTTTAAATTATTCACTTTATTTTTATTATAATATGTTTTTTTCATAGGAGAAAATTCAGATTGAATATGTCTATAAATATCATCTCGATGTTATCTTTTTGACATAAAATATGCAAATTTTTTCATGCTGATAATAATATTTGTTTTCATGTTGTATATATTACAGTAAGTTTATGGATTTTAACGGATATATTGCGTGGCTTATCACATTTCGATGAAGTCAAACGAATCACGTGAAAAGTTTTGTTGGATGTTAATGAATGTCAAATAGATTAAATGAGAAGCATTTTTCATATTGTAATGGTAATTATATTAATTATATCTGTTTAATGCTCGATTTTGCATGACAAATCTCAATCACTTGTACGGTATTTTATTGCAAACTTTGACTTTTAATTCAGTTTTATTGTGGCTGCTATAAAATCGGTTTACGTCTCTTTCAAATGTTTTTTTCGTAAAAAAATGCTTCTTGTACCATTTCATCTTCAGTTTTATTGCGAATTTTCAATAAAATTTGCTTGTAGCGTAAAAAATTTTAACACTTCGCACTTCAGATTTGTGATAGTAACTTTGGTGTTGCAAATTGCTGGAGTGAGGGAAAAGATTTTTAATTCACTTTATAAATATAAGTAATTATTTTCATATTCATTCACAAATTATTACAGACATGAAAATTTATGCTGTTGGTAAAGTTAAAGGCTACATTCAGTGATTGAATCGTTAGCAAGTGAATATTGATAAATGAGCTAATTGAACCAAAAATATTTTTAACAATCACCGCAAAGATTTGACCTTTGTTTTTTTCATAATTACATGCAAGAGTTACTTCATATAGTTAGTTAGGTATAGGGTGTATGCTTTTAAAGAATTTTAGACAAATTATATCAGTGTATGACAATGATCTGTTGTCGCTGAAAGCGATAAGATGGAAGATATTCAATTTTTCTTCTACACAACACTTTTTTTCTCCCAAATGTGGTATAGAAGGTAATAATCCACTCTCTTGATCAGTTCAATCACATCGATCAATAACTTTTTGACAAAAATTTTTTCATGTAGAGACATACAAATATTTGTGCCTTTTCTTGCAAAAATGAGATTAAATATTGGAATTGAAAAATATCAGAAGGAAGCCGAAAGTTATTCAACGAACGTAAAATACTTTGAATCAACGATTGTTTTAAAGGATTATCTTATTGAAGTGGGGATTCATTATGAATGATTTTCAATCTAAGAGATATGAATTTTTAATCTAATCTTGTAATTAGCTTCCCGTAATGAATGTAATCCCTATAATTTTTGGATTAAGCAAACGTTTCCCGGCAGTTAATTTTCAGGATGTTTATTACTTGAGGCTATACTTAATTGCGCTTCTCAATTCAATCAACAAGTATGCATGCATTATTTATTACTTTCCAGTTACTTGTCGTTTTCACCAATTTACGGGGTTAAAGTTCATATATTGGCTTGTAATTTCAAACAGTTCAGCACTTGGATGCAAAGAGAAATTCATCATCACATTATTTTTGCTTCGGTTAAACTGAATATGATAATTATAGAAATCTGGAAGAAATCCCAATTGAAAAGGCTTGATATTCGCCATTTACTATTTGGAAGTCGAATATTTTATACCCCATTTAATCTATGCAAATAACTTTGGCTTAGAGATTAAAATTGATGTTTCGCAAGTATAAAGGTCACTTGAAATTAAACTAATACTCAACAAATTTGTAAAAAAGTAATCTTCTGAAAAAATATCAAATCCTTTTTGAATTTGATAGAAGATGCGTGTCTACTACATTGATTCTTGAAAATGAAATTGCCTAAAGTCTAATTATATTAAACAGAAGTAGCTGTTTGTAAAGGATATGCTATGCTAATAATAAAATTGTGAAGAACTTTTATCGCTTATTAATTTGATTATTAAATGATAATTAGATGTGAAGCTGAATATGCAAATACAGCTGATCACTACACTTTTTTCATTTGGCTTAGAATTTAAAGATGATTCTAACTTTTCGTATCTGCAATACTACTATTTGTGTTACAAAATATCAAATTAAAAATGCTGCTATTGTACAAAGAGAAATTAGAATATTTGGAGTAATTTCAAATTCAAAAATTTCAGATTACATCATGGATCATTTGAAGGAAGATTGAAAGAATCAGAAAACTTTTGAAACAGATCAAATGAGTATACGATAATTTGCATGAGGATAAAGTATTTGCCTTAAAAATTGACCCTAGAAAGTGACCTTTTTGTGCAATGATTGGATGTAAACGAGAAGAAACGAATAATTTTGTTCTTATTTGCCTTGAAGGGAAAATTTGGCCTTCAAAATTTATTTCTGCATAAATTTTCCTTTACAAATTTCCTCAATAGACCTCAGTTAGCAGCAATTCGCTTAATTATTGCTGTTACTATCATCATGACTGTTATTATTAACAAAATTATTTCTTGTCAAAGTTTACAATTTAATTACATCCAAAAGTCTCAATCTTGTTAAAAATTTTTCACTTATTTACGTGAAAAACAAATGTAAATTAATATGTTACAATTTTTAAATTAATTTGCGCAATAATAATTTCGTACGATTTAAGTGAGATTTCAATGGTAACAATACAGAAATTGAAAAGTAAGTATAAAATTTATGTTAATTTTGCCAGTACCTCACAGTAGGCTTATTTCTTAGCTTCATGTGTTGGATGTCAAGTTTAATTGAAATTACTGCAGTTATATGTGTTAGCTTAAGTAGTAATAACCCGTAAAATTGGTCATTTGAGACTTGAAAGCCTTATGGCTAGCCTGGGCTTGGCTTCACAATACGGCCACAATGTGAAAGTGGCCAAAAGTGATTGTTGATTGTTTGCATTAAGAGCTAAATAAGGTGGAGCAGACGTGAAATGCTAGCTTAGCATATTTATTCTTTTATTAAACCCAAACTATTGAACTGAATTGGACTGATTTGAATTATTATCATGGACTGAATTGGACTGATTTGAATTATTATCAGTTTAATCCAGTTCAATCTCATATATTTCTTTATTTTAGGAGCTAAATCACTTAGTTTTGTTGAGCTTTAAAAGAGTAATCTAGGTCCTAGCAGCAAAAACAAATACTTTTCATCTTTTGCGAATTCTAATCTTTTTTAAAAATTCACTCACTTGCGTTAATTTTGAGAATTCTTAATGTATGCACAAATAGCTATCAGTTTATTTTACATTTTAATAACTTTTCTGCTAAGAAAATTATTTTTGAAGCAGAACATGTATTGAAGTATGTAACTCATAACTTTTTTCTCTGTAATTTCACTTACTTAAATGGCTTTTTTTCAGTTTCACGTAAATACTAAAACATAAAAATTAAAGTAGAAATTTTGCTTAATAAACTTTTTTGAACTCTCATATTTGAATGACCTTTAATTAATTCATATTATTTGCGTTTTTCTGCAGAGATCTGACTGCAGCAAGAAGATATGAGGTGCAAAAGAAGTGTACCCGAATGTAACAAAAAATTTGCATATATGTTGACATCATCGAAATTTGATGACATAAAATCATGCTATCAGTTGGCAGCAATAGCATTAGCAGCAATTCTTAGTTTCTGTGGTAATATTGATGGTGATTTTGTATTTGATGATCGAGAAGCCATTCTTCAAAATCAGGCTGTTCAATCTATCATAAAAATTTTTGATACTGATTTTTGGGGTTTCCCGATACGTTCATCACGCAGTCACAAATCGTATCGGCCACTTACGACTATTACTTTTGCGTGAGTGATTTTTATCATTGTTCTTGTGATCATTATTGTTAAAATGCTTCTCTTTGTTGTGGACAATTAAAGTATTTGCCACAAATCAAATGTTATTTTGCCATTCAGCTGCTGAGAATTTAAAAAAATTATTGTTTTTGGCACAAAAAAGATACGTTTCTATGTTGATCAAAAAATTTGATTAAAAAAACGTTTAAAATATTTTTTAGATTTACGTAGATATTATAATGGTATCGCGCGTGAAGGTGTTCAAAATTTTATGAATTTATTGCAAGAGAATACTTTTTGAGCGTGAAATTGAGCACACACGTAAATCTGTTTATTTAGCTAGTTGATTGTTAACACGCTGTTATCATTTCACAATGAATTTATGCAAATATTATGGATCAAAAAGTATAAGTAACTTTTGAACTATGAAATTTTAAAACAAATGTAAAGTTAAATTTGCAGCGATTACATTCGCTAATGATAGTCTTGGGAATATTTAATCCTCTTATGCCATAACGTATGACCAATTATTTTGCGTAGAAGAATCCTCCAGAGAAAAGTTCTGATGAATGTTGTTCAGGTTTTAAGAATCTTGATTAGATCTTGACTATTGCAATTGCGAATCATCCTGTGCTACAAAGACTTAAAACATTAAAATCAGCGCAAGGTTTTGGAAATTGATTTACAGTACAATCAAAATAGCAGCAAATCTTAATAGGATTTAATTTGTAAATAGATCAGAAATTCTTTATTTATATAAAATAATCCCAATAAGTCTACTTTGTACACAAGAAGGAAAATAAGAAAGTGATTTTGATCTTCTGGTCAAAAGGTCAAACATAGAAGTAACTTAAATTTATTAATAACAGATAACTGTATGTCATTCCGTTTTGATGAGATAATATTTTTCAGTATTATTGCATCAAAACTTTGAAAAGTTTATTTCTTCAGTATAACTTTGGCATTTGTAAAATTATTGAAATGAACTTTGAACTCGCTGATTGAGGATTATTTAATTCAGTTTTTGACTCAAAATTCATTTAAGTTTTAAATTTTCATTCAGATATTATAAAGTACGAACAGTGCATAGCTTTCACGTTTTTCACGTTCTGTATCTTTAGTAGTCAATTTCAATATTTTTGCAATTAATTCAATTCAAATGTCATTTCCCTCTTTTAACTAATTCTATCTTCAAATAAGTTTTCAATTTCTTAACATCATTTCATTTCATTAATTTTTTGTAAACCAAATAAATATTCACATGAAGGAAGAATCAATTCTTTTAGCAAAATTGAATACGACAAATTTGTGAAGAACACTTTGAAGTTTTACTCAAAGATTCTTCACAAATTTGTCTTCTTCAAATGTCATTTTAATTTTTCTTTTCACATACATTTTTAGCAATTACTGCAAAAATCAATCATATCAGTAAGTAAATAAATGAGAGTTTAAAAAATTGAACGTAAATAAAAGTCATTGCTTATATTAGCTGTAAGTAAGAATAAATATGCGCAATGAGATATCTCGAGCTTTTAATTCAATTAATATAATTATGAATCAGTTTGATTGTACAAGTAATTGGCCAGATGTTTTAGGATTCTTGAATGAGAAACGGTAAATACGATGAAACAGCTTCAAGTATGTTCAAGCATATTCCAGAGAGTTTCATCTTGAACCTTTTATTTTCTTTTCAGCATTCTCAAATCCACATTTCACATATCATTTCTATAATCATATGAATTAATTGAAGTCTAATCAGTACAAATACATGCAGTTTGCTCTTTCATAAAGAAATTTTATTCAAAAAACAAAGCAATAAACTTAATTCTTTTTTTTCTTCTACACTGCTAAAATATTCATATTAAAATTTACCGGTCTTAAATTAAAGAAATCCTAGGGGTTAGGGAATGTAAGTGAATCCTTGCTTTACTTATCCTTTTTTGTAAGCATATATTTAATTCATAATGTATGTAAGTGTAAGTATTTGCATATGAGTTAATGTATGCGTGTATGTGAGTGTAAGTTTATGATTGATGCAATTATAAGAAAGTGTTAAGTTTTGGCCTGAAGGCTATAAATAAATTTACACGTTATTTGCTTTCATTTTACATCCTTAAAGCAAGACAGACATTAATTCAAATATAGCATCGGATGCAGTATTACAAATATAATATATGCAAATTAATTTATAGCAATTGAAGAGTAAACTTCATAGGACATATTAGAAAAGTATTTAAATTTTAATAGAATAGCAGCTTAAAGTAAGAGCAATCAAATGTTATGCTAAATGGCAGTAAAGTGAATGCAAAATTTTATATTGTGAATACAATTTTTTTTAAATTTTATTTGTTATCAATTTAACAAATGATAATATGTATTTAAAAAATTGGCCTAAAATGTATTCATATAGTTTTTTTAAATAATTAGAAGTAAAATTTTTTTTAATAATTAGAATAATAATAAGTAAAGAGTATTTCTTCATTAAATAAATTTCTGTGTAACATAATTGCTAAACTAAATATTCCATCAGTTTCATTTATTTGATTGAAAATATGACCGGCTGCTCCTCATGGTGATAATTCAATAATCTTATTGACTAAGAATTTAAAGTTAGCTAAAGTTAATCGCAGTTTGTAGAAGTGAAATTTCTAGCAATATGTTTAAACGTTCAGAATTGATAGTCTTATGCATAAAATTAAATAATAGATCTGACTCAAACAAGATTAATTATTTTAATTTAATGAGATTAAAGACAACATTGTAGATGCCTTATAACTTAAAAGTAAAGACTTTGGCAGTATTATTGCCAATCAAAAAATTCATTAATGCTGAAATTTGCATATCGTTTTGTTAATATTTGCATAATTGTCCCAAAGTTATTCTTGCAAATTTTATAAAATTACTTTTTTATTAAAAAGCATACATACCGTTGCTATCATTGCTATTTTATGGTAATAAATTGAAAACAACATATCTTTATAACTATTGTTCAAGTTACTTTACAAACTACCAGCTGGTATAATATGCAGCAAAATACTGTCTACCCTGAAGATCAACCTTGAGGTTAAATGTCAAAAGTGATTTCAAGTAAAATCAGTTAAATACAGATATCGCATTTACATATTCATTTTTCAGGTTCAATTATCTCCTCTCAGGGTTTGATACGACAAGTTATCATATTGTCAATATATTATTGCATGCGACAGTTTGCATTGTACTAAATAAAGTTTTTCTGAACTTATTAACCATTTTTCATGCGCAGTTTCCCAATAAAATTGCCTTCCGCGCATCATTTTTTTTCGCCATTCATCCAATCCATTCCGAAGCAGTAAGTTTACAAATTAGCAAAACTTATTCTTAATTATTGCACAAAAATTTAATTGCCAAATATTTTTTCTTAGCTTTTGTTTAAAAATTATTACTTACCCTAAACTATCTTTTTGTTTAACTTTTATTTACATAATTTTGTTTATAGCAAAAATAATTTCCTATAATTATTATTAATTGTATTATATTTGATTAAATTTATTTATACTTAAATATTCGTAAATTGTTTATCCTTTAAATTCAGTTATTTTATAATTTCAAGTAAAACTTTTACACTAATAATGGTAATCGCAGGTGGCGAGTATAGTTGGTCGCGCAGAACTGTTAATGGCATTATTTACTTTATTAGCTTTTTATTTATACACAAAATCATGGCTAAAATCGCATTTTTCTGTACTATCTAAAACGATAATTTTGCTGTCAAGTATTGCTGCGCTTTTTAGCAAAGAGCAAGGAATTGCTATTTTGGTTTGCTTAGTGTTTTTATATTATTTATTTGTTAGATTTTATTTTGAGATATTAATTATAAAAATAATTTATAATTTGAATTTTCAAAAAATTTTATTTGTTTTTAGCCTATTTGTGCAATATTTGAATTGTTTGCGACGAAAATTACACCTTATTCTTTGCTTACTTTACGCGGAAAAAAATTGCTTCAAAATACAAACAAAAACTTCATTAATCAGAATGCAAAAACCTTGAGTGTACAGTTTTTGTTTTGTTTTTCTTTTCTTTTTTCACTTTTAACTTTAATCTAATTTCTTGCTAAATGATTTTAATAATTAGACTGAATAATATTTGTGTAATGCCAAGCAAATATTGTAAAATTTAAAACAAGTTAGTCTGTAAAAGCTTTTTTGCCAAATTTTTCTCATAAAATAAAATTTATATCAGTGAAAAATTGCAAATAATTACTTTTCCACTTAATAATTGAAAAATATCAAAATAATAAATATTATTAAATCTCACAAAGTTTTAAGAACTAAATTCGTTGTTTTTTCGAAAAGTTAATTTTGCCTTACGCTTTCTTTCTTGTAGTAATTTGAATGAGTTGTATAAAGCTCAATAAATTAATAAACGTTTTTAGTGTAATTTTTAAGTTAAAAAAAATACTTCCCATATTCATTTTCTAAAATGAGAGATTATTCAATCGGTTTGTAATAATCTTTAATTGCATTAAAACAATAAAAGAAAATGAAAAATATATGCTTAAAAAGTAAATTTGAATTAAAAAATTAAACTTATTTTCACGTAAACTATTCACTTGTGGTTATTTTAAGTAATTCAATTGAGATGGTACATTTATTCTCCAGAAATGTGTTATTTTCAATGATTTGAACGAATTTTTCCAGCTAATTTGCAAAAATTTATTATTGCAGAAATTTTATTACGATTGTGTACATCGTATTGCTGTTTGTATATTTATTTGCGTGATTCTACTCGTAATCAGATTCTCAATTAATGGATTCCAAACTCCTCAATTTAGCAGCAACGATAATTTTATCGCTAACAATCCTTCATTTTTTTTTAGAGTTTGATATTATTTTTTATATTTGCAAAAATTTTCTTGTGATCAAAAAAAAATTTGAGAATTTATAAAAATTACGATTTCATTTTTATTCTTTCAATGTTTTTCGATTTTTGGATTGTTTGCATTCATTTCTATGAAAAATTAAAAAGCATCATGATTAGTAAAAATACTAATTAATAATAATATTAATAATAATAATGATAAGAATATTATTATTAATATTATTATTATTTTCAAGCAGACTTTAACAATTTCTGCTATAATAATCTTTTATTAAGGCTTAGTTTACACAAATTAATTTATTTTCAAAATAATTAAGAATAAGAACTTAGGTAATGAATCGCTGTTATATATACGGTTTATACATTTGGTTACTACTTTATCCAGCACAACTATGCTTTGATTATTCAATGGGATGTATCACATCCATACAATCCATCGCTGACCCGCGCTTTATCATATCTGCAATTTGCTTTCTAGGTCTTATTATTTATATCATCGATCTATTAGTTAATCGATATTCTATGGATGAGTACAGGTTTTTATCTTGTTAACTTTTTTATCTTAGTTTTATTTGATTTCAAAGCCCAAAGTTGAATTATATAAATTTTGATTCGGTGATTTTGTAAAGCTTTTATTACTTAGTCAAATACTACTATGTTAAATCTTAAATAAGATATACAGTACATGTAATATACATTAATTAATATACGGTATAATATTCACAGTACACTCAAATAAGACAAATATTTAATTTGTATTATCAAAACTTACTTGCTTATTACATTCACAAATATTATTACTTGTTATATCGAAGAAAAATGTCATAGCGCAATTTTTAACTAAACTTTTTATAATAATTAATGAACTGAGACTTAGCTGCTTGAAAGGCTTACAGGCTTGAATTATTCTCAGTAATATTTTATATGCTAACTTTTCTTCCGGCGAGTGATATTTTTGTTACTGTTGGATTTGTGCTTGCTGAACGAGTGCTATATTTGCCTTCAGCTGCATTTTGTTTGACTATCGTTATTTTATACGAAAGGATAGAATCACTTTTACTCGCGAAGAAAGTGAAAAATATTATAAAAAGTAGTATAAAAGTAATCGCAGTACTACTTTTTGCACGATCTTATCAGGTTATTATTACTTTGGATAGCATTAACTTTTAACAAAGTAATTTGAAATTTTTTTTCGTTAATTTTTGTATATTTAAAAAAAATTCAAATTTTATTTCAGCGAAGTTTAGATTGGAAGAATGAATTAGATTTATACAGTAGTGGTTTAACTGTTTGTCCGAATAATGCAAAAATTCATTATAATATTGCAAAAATTATGGCTGATAATGGTGATACTGATCGTGCTACTCTTAACTACGCAAATGCTATAAAGTAATTAAAACTTAATAAGTAAATTAATGCAAAAATATTATTTTTACAATGATTTGGAGTCTTCTTCTAGTCTATCTTTACTAATCAAAAAAAATTATTAAAAAAGTTACGTGTAACATATAAATATGATACGTAAATTATACATAAACTAAAATTTTGCCAAAATTTGTTCTAAAATGTAATTTTTTTACAATTTACTTAGAATTGAATATAATTCTATCACTTAATTAATTTTAAGACCTAATTTAATTTTCTCAATATAAAGTTATGACATGGCATTTATTCAAAATAATAAAATATTTGGCAAAGTTTTGATTGTATAATTTTGTGAAATAAATTAAATGTTTTAGACTTAATCCTACTTATGAACATGCAATGAATAATCTCGCTAACATCCATCTTAAGCAAGGTCGAGCATCAGAAGCCGAACAATTACTTTCGAGAGCTTTAAAAATTAAGCCAAAATTTCCAACTGCGTGGATGAATCTTGGACTTGCACATTTGGCTCAAAAACGTTATCAGGTTTTCTTTAAAATAAATGATAGCTAGAACACAAGAAAAATACAAGTAGCAGTAATAATTGAAGTTGCTATTAACCACTGAAACTGAAGTTTTATTATTATTATTATTATTATTATTATGTTTATTATTACTAGTAGTATTCTGGAAGAGTTTGTATGACATACTTTTGATGTTATTACTTAATGTGAGAAAAGTGTATAAATTAGTTTTTTAATTTCATTTTAGACTATTTTTTTCTTGTTTTGAAGTTATGAACAAACAATACAAGCTTTACACAAGTATTGCAACCGCGTGGGAAAAACAGAATCTTATAAGTAACTTCCAGGATGCTCAGAAAAGCTTCGAAAAAGCACTCAGTTTACGTTTTCCGTATCCAGATTGTCTTTACAACATGGGCATACTGTATTTCGAGCAAAACCATAAACTCTACGCAAAACAATTGTGGCAAAACGTTACAAGGCAAATTTGAAACTAAAATTAAACTTATATTGTAAAACAACTTAATAATTTAAAGAGCGATCATAAATGCAAATACTGCTAATCTAAAATTGAGTTTTTTGCATCAATTACAGAAAATTAGCTTTCTTTTGTAAAATTACAGTAAAATTTAATTTTGAATTATAAAATTGAAGTTAAATATTTTGAATTTTTCACATCTAAGTAATAAATTACGACTTAAGAAATTCAAAATTTCTATGCTTTAAATAGTTTAAAAAGATAGACTAAATATGCATAGCACTTTATTTTTATTTTCAGAGTCAATCCCTCCCATAAACAAGCCTGGCTAAATTTACTGCTACTTTTGGATGAAACAAATAATTGCATAGAAGTTATCAATTTAACAAACAAAGTGCTTAACTATCACAGCCAAGAAGCTTCAATTATTTCTCAGTTAGGAATTTGTTACGGTAAACTTGAAAAGTACAGTAAGGCCGAAAAGTTTTTACTGCTTGCTGTGGAGCTTCAACCAACAAATATAGTTTACTGGAAAAATATAGGTGAATAGTAATAATCATTCAATAATTGTCAGGCCTAAAGACATATGCTATTCAATTTTTAATAATATTTCTGCATATAACCTTCGTAGTGAATAAGTATTAGAAACGAAATATGGCAAGTATTAGTTTATTTACTTAACAGTGAATACTTTAGGTATTCTGTATCAACGTTGGGGAAAGCCTGAAAAAGCAAAATTTGCATATTGGAAAGCATTTCAACTTCAAATGTTGTTCAGATCCATCAAATAATGCATACATTAAAGATCATGCAGACGAATATTATTTTTTACCTCTATTCTACTACCATTACATATTAGCTACGCTAATAAATACTGCATGCGTTATTTGCCTAAAACAAATTGTAATCCCAAATTTTGAAGCAAAAAAAGTGCTGTGACTTCAGTAAAATCATTGCTTGTACAACAAGCTTATCATTCCTCTATGGCACTGGCATACAGTAAAACCGTAATGACTATGTGTGCTCAACAAATATCTGATATTTTGAGACAATTTGCCTGCTAAGCATTTTTTACACAGCAGTAAACCCCAACTCTGAGTGTAAATGTAAATCCGCTTAGTTTACTTTCATTATCGCAAATGGATAATTTATGCATTTAAGAATTAATATTTACTCTTATTCATAATTAGTTAAGATTGATTAAAATTAATAATTAATATTTATTAATGCTGAATTCTTTTATGCTATCATAATAACAAACATTATGGGTAAGAATAAAACTAATCAGGTACATTGCTATCATTCTGCAAATGCAAACAGCATAATATATTAATTTTGTAGAGAAAATCACAAAAATTTTGATTATATTTGAATAATTCGATATATTTTGCAAAATTTTTCATTTTTTCAAGTCAAATTGTTCAATTGTGACAGATAGTTGCATATTAATTAATGCTTACAGACAAATCTAATTAGTAATAAATTGTGTTGCAAATTTTTAATCATTTAAAAACGAAAAAATAATGGCAGATTAGAATTTGAATGATCAATGATAAGGAAAGAATGAATATTTGTCAGAATTTTATGTTTAAACGCTAAAAGATTGACTTATAAAAAACTCAAATAAGTGAATCCAAAGCTTTGAAGTAAACAAAAGCTGAAAAAATTGTTCTTAGACGCATAAATTACTTCTGTACAGATATCTTAGAAAAAAATTAAAAGTATTCACAAAATCAGACTGTATTACACTTTGCAATTTTTGTACAGTTTAAAATATTTTTTCTATTTTTTCCACTTATTTTAATTTATCAGCTATTTTATACATTCAAATTTAAAAATTCCGCATTTTTTTGCTGCTTTATTGCTATTTTACAATAAGTGTAAGCTCTCATTATATCTTAAAAGCATACTCTATACTTTATTGCTTGAAAAAATTGCCCAACAGCTCATGTCTTAAACAAAAATTAAACTAATTGTATTACTAGAAGCAATTTTTTTCAAGCTACTTGTTATTGATAATGCAAAAAACGCTAATAACATTTTGCAGAATAAATATTTTATACATTTTATGTTTGAAAAAAAAATTGCTGCTCAATCAACTGAATATTATTTTGCGAGAAGAAATTTAATAAATGTTTCCTAGTGAGAAGCAAACAAAAATTGTAAAAATTTAGAGGCTAATTATGACAAAAACAAATAAATTGAAGGATTCTTCTTCAAGCAACCAAATTTAGCATTGAAGGCATTAGAAGGATTCAGAAATTGCACAATTTTATCTGAATAATTACACTTAATTGCTTTACTGAATGCCAAAGCAAGCTTTGTAATGCCCAAAATTAATTTTCCAATATAATAGTTTTTATTGCTAAAAAAATTCTCAAACTTTCGGTAGAAAAATTTAGCAATCTTAAAATGATTCAAATAACTTTGCAATAATTAAAATTATTTGAATGACACAAAAATTATGCAAATTAATAATCACATGGAAATCCAAAAAATACCAAATCATAAGCAGACCAGAATTTTCATCAATTATGTCCACACAAAATTATTTACACAGTTCACAAAAACTTAAATTTTAATACTGAAATTTTTATGGTAATCATTTGTGATGACTCAAGCTTGATACTCGTTTGTTTTGTAAGTTTGTTTAAT